CTTCTAACTAGCTCTACACTGCAAAACAAGAACATTTCTGTCGTGCCATGTCTTCTACTTGGATCATCATATGACTTTTTACTTTACACAACAGTTAGGATTAGTACACCGCCTCACCAGCTATAGCAGAATGACAATGTCTTCTGCCAACACTTTCTTCTGCACTCACTGACACAGTGCATGCATAGCATGCAGCCTACTATATCTGGCAACGTGAGGCTGAGACAAAGTGAGGCACGGTAGAGTTTTATGCAGCTGTAAACCTGCCCACACTCTCTGACATTGGGTGAAACAATATACGGGCAGGTCAAACATTACTTGATATTTGTCGTGCCTCTCTGGAAGGCTTTTATACAATCTTGGGATGGCTGCCAAGAGAAACAAAACTAATCATACTTGAGTGGGCTTGGTTTGATTATTTTACAGTAGATGAAAGTCTTTGCCCTCTTTCGACGGGCCGGTGGACCAGTGCAGATTGTACCACCACGTAGCCTGGTGTTGACGCGTAGAATCAAGTGCATTAAAGGTTCAGCAAGTTCGCTTTATTGTGATATATTGGACATATTGACAGATATTATGGACTATTGCCAACACCGTTACATCTAATGAGAATGTGTGTGTGTGGACTTGTGCCAATGGTGAGCACCCCTGAGAGATGCCAAACCCGACACACACGCGACACACACAAGCTGAACAATAGAAGACAATTTTTGACAGCTATTCCAGTTATTCCTAATGCTATACTGTTCCTGCACACACAAACACACTTTATCCAGAAGTTATTGTTAGATAAGAAGCTGACCTGAGGTGAAATCCCCATGTGCGAAAGTCTTTCATTGTAGCTTTAATGGCTTTAAATTCAAGCAATCAGGTAGCAAATTGTCAGCACACTTCACTCAAAGGCTCTAATTTTGTCTTTTTAATTATTAGAGTAGAGAGTAATTGATCTTCTTCAAATGTTTTCACAGCATTTAATAACTTTAATGAGGGGAATATGGAGTAGAGACAAAGTCTGAAAGAGAGGAGGCTTTTTTTTACGCTTTATAATGATCTGAACTTTCTTTTTTTCTTCTAGCTCTGACTCAGCAGCACCTTTGCGTCAACTCGACAGACCTCAGCATTAGAATTAATATATTTGTCTGCACTCTTGCCCTTCCCTCCTCTGTAGGGTACATAGCTCCATCTTAATAAGCCATGAAAGCTCTCTCTCTCTCTGTCTCTGGATGCTGGGTGTGGTCAGCGCTATAGCCAGTCAGGTCGTTCAGACATAAACAAGTGGCACACCGACATGCTGCAGTTGACTAAAATGGACAGACAGACAAACAAACACTATTATCTGATCTCTGTCTCACAGACTGCAATTATGTAGAAACATACATTTTTCCATCATTTTGTTATCCTCTTGCTCCATACATCACTCATTTCCTCATCTGCTCAATCATGCTGCTCCTGCTCCTTCATCACTTAAGCTCAGTCTCTCACTCTTTCAGCATGTTTATCTCTCTCGTCTCTTTCTCTAAATGAGTAAAATTCTGCACTTCGCTCGATGACATGCATCCTCCTCAGCAATTAGTGCCTGCTAATGACCGATTAAATAGTGATCATGTACTTTTAGCTGCAGGGAAAAATGAGTAATATAATTGAGGCCCTAACTGTTCTGTCATTCTGCTAATATCCATTATGCCTTCAAAAAGGCCTGATTAACCTTAATTCTTAATCAGCTCAGCTTGCGTCAAAGGACGGCGTAGTTGGAAGCGTTTTATCTTTTTGTTGCTGAAAGGAGATTAGCAATGCTTTAGCAATGAATTCATACATAGATTGGTTAAGGGAAGACATTTGGAAAGGAGGTGTTATGGCCTGGAGAACCTGCTTTCTTTCCTGATATATGAAGCACCATGGATCATTTCAGTATCAGCATCCAATTTGGTAGAGGAGCATAGGCATTCCACTATTTTGCTAATCTTCCGTGTGCACGTATACTCGCTGAACTAAGGATATAAAAATAGAGGGGTTTGACTGTATACTGATTTGATGACTAATGAATGTTATGACAGAGACTTACACCATTCTCTCCTATTTATAAACCAGACAGAGAGCCTATGCTAGCAGCTCCGAGGCTGTTCTACAGCGGCACATTGGGCTAAATGCTAATGTCACCATGCTAACATGATGACAATGACAATGTCATCATGTTGATATTTTGCAGGTATAGGCCTCATATTTACCATGTGCTTTGTCTTAATTTAGCTCGTTAGCATTCTAACATTTGCTAATAAGCACTAAACACTAGTAAATGATGGGATTAATTTAGCAGGGCAATTGGTCATAAACCAAAGTGTTAGATGGATTAAAATGTTGACCTGATGATGTCGCTAGATTAAAAGTTTATGGATCACCAAAGTGGTTTCCATTAATCTTGAGGGAAACATGGATGCCTGAACCACATTTTGCGTCCATCTAGCCAATAGTAGTTGAGACATGGATGAAAAGTCAGGGGATTACCTAAATCGGTAGGGTTGATTTTCTGGGGGAATGTCTGTAAAAAAAATCCTGCAAATATATCCAACGGTTGTTGAGATCTTTCAGTCTGGACCAAAGTATCGACAGACATTGCCACCCTAACCCATAATACTAGCATTGCTATAAAGAGAAACCACGTATTCCTAGTTTGAAATGAGGGACTTTTTGTTTACAGAAGTCGTCGTCATTTTCCTGAGACATGCAGTTGACAACACTCATCCATACACACACGCAGGGAGTTATTACTGTCTGTACTGATGCAGCCAACACTGATGTTATCTGCCTAATGAATATCCTAAACACAGGCAGTTTAATCCACTAACTTCAGGGTTTTCCGTATACTCAGGTAGAGGAGGAAATGAGATAAAGGTTGCAGAGGAGGCTTGTTCCCTGAGGAGTCCATCCATTAAAGCATTATTCTGTTGTGTAAAAAGTGTTATTTATTGATGCAAGTTGAAGTAGGCCTACCTTCCTTATTTTCAAGATTGTGATGCAGAAAAACAAAAACAAAACAAGCAAAAACTACATTCCAATGACAAGTGTGTTTTCATTCGGTAAAAATACAATTTTACGTCTGAAAAAGGGAACTGACGATTTGCAAAGATGGGCATCTCTTGCAGTGTGTACTCTGCCTGTATTGCTCACTCCTCCCAGGTTTCATCGGGCTCATTTAAAACACATTAGGCTGTTAGAGCGCTGTCAGGCCCCAGTGATGAGAGAGAAGCCTGTCTAATTTTAATGCTACTTGGGGGAAGTCTGGTTGCCCCAGTCTCTCATCTCAGCCCACAGGAAACTCTCTCCAGCCTGATAAGGAACAGAGCACGCCGCCCAAGAAACCAAGCCCCCGCTGACATTTTCCCAGCTAGCTCCTGCCTTATTGCTCCCTGTGATTATAGTGCAGGGGTAACAATATAGTACAATTTGCCCTCCTTGGACTTTTCTTATTTCTATACTTTTGAGCCTTATGCCAGTCGAAATAGGGCAAACCTACCTCAAGTCCCTTAACCCACATTTTAAATAGTGGAATAAAGCTTTATCCATCTTTTTAGGGTTTAAAATGTAATATATATATAAGTTGTAGTAAGAACTGTGAAATAGCTGCAAGTATTGAGCAACCTTTTTTTAAGTAATTGACAGCTAGAGGTTACATCTCATCCATTTACATCAGACTACAGTATAAACCTGATGTTAGTCAATTGCATCAACAAAATCAAATAATCTCATATCTTATTTATGATGAAGTTCTCTCTAGGGTGCCCTTCCAGAAGAGAAAACATGATACAGTGCACTAGGGTGCCCTTCCAGTAGATACAAATGAGAAAGTGCCCTCCCAGTTGAGGGAACATGATAAAGTTCCCTCTTGGATGCCCCTGCGGTAGACACAACTTGATGAAGTGCCCTCTAAGGTGCCCTTCCAGAGGAGAAAACATGATGGTCTGTCTTGGATGTTCCTATGGTAGATAAAACATGATTAGGTGCCCCTTCTAGTGGAGAAAACATGATGAAATGCATTCTTGGATGCCCCATACCAGTTGAATGTTCCTTCTAGTGTACCCTTCACCTGGAGAAATGAGATGCAGTGCACAAATGGGTGCCTTTAAATTGTGATGCAGTGCCATATAGGCTGCCCTACATGCTAGAAAACTTTATGCGCGCTGGTGCCCCACCACATGCAGCTAGTGCCCTTGATATTTTATGTCCCTCAGACAGCCAGAGTCCGCCACTGGGGACTTGATCGGCTTGTTCGTGATGTGACTTTTACCTGTCGCCAGACAGAAACTCAGCTTTAAGGCTGACTCTGTCTGAGAGAGTGCATGCATGTGTGTGTGTGTGTGTGTGCGTGTGTGTGTGTAAGTGCTCACCCCATTCTGGGGAGCTCCATCCATCATTATGTGGAAGAGCCAAATTGTTGCCAATATCCCTCTTTGCTCTTCCAGTCCATCCATTTTCCATCTAATAGGTCTACCACGTAGCCTACTGTAAAGATTGATATAGTCCACATCCATATAATCTACACCAGACACTCAATTTCAGCCCAGTCTCAACTGCAGTAGTGCAGCTAAAGTGACTATTCTTCACCAAATGTCACAAATGTGTTCTGCTCATCTGAAATCTGTTTGGACTTTCAGGATGCGATGAATCAGATGTTTGAAAGGAAAATCTAATCTCGTACTTTCAGCATTTGGACCAATCTGCGGGATTTCACGATATATTGTATGTATCTAATACAGATATAGTGACAACTTAGAGTTGGTGATTTTTCTTGCAGCAGCACTGCGTAGGCAGAGGCCGGGTCACTGAGTGCATTGTATGTACTCGCTAGGCAGGAATTCACTGATGAGGTTGAATTCATAGCGCGTCTGTTGCGTTTTGTGGTTCTTTCACAAACCATTTATCTACGTATTGATTTTTGCTCAGTATGCCCTTCGTTCCGCTTCTGGGTAAACTCTGCTGCTGTGCCATATGTTTGTATCTGGCAGGCGTGCTGCAGGTCAGCGGGATGCGTGTATACACCAACGGGGACATGGAGGCCGTCAACGGGACGGATGTTCGTCTGAAATGCACATTCCAGAGCTCCGCTGCCATCAACCCCAACACCATCGTCATCTCCTGGAGCTTCAGACCCCTCAAACCAGGCCGAGAAGAGTCGGTGAGTGTGTGTGTGTGTGTGTGTGTGTGAACAAACCTTAAACCTCCCTCATTGTGTCTGGGAGCATCCACCCCCTCAGCCAACTGAGAGAGGACTTGGTGAGTCATCCGGCTCCCTACAGTGCATCCAAGCCAGCCTATGTGTGTCTGTGTGTGTGTGAGCATATTGAGAAGATGCAGCAGGTCTGGTTTTATTTATTGTCTTTATTTCTCTGTGAGTTTAAAATACCTTCCTTCTTTCAGACTCAGTTTGGTATTTACATCCGTTACAATCTATCCAAATCAAAGCCATTGTTGCTCTGACTAAATCTACCCATCAATTTCCACCTTTAGGTGTTCTACTACCATCAGCGGGCATATCCTCCGTTAGAGGGCATTTTCAGGAAGCGTGTCAGTTGGGACGGCGACGTCATGGGCCGTGATGCCTCCATCGTACTTCAGCAGGTCAAGTTCACCTACAACGGCACTTACATCTGCCAGGTCAAGAACCCGCCGGATGCCCACGGCACGGTTGGAGAGATTCGACTCCGTGTCGTCGCCACAGGTCGGCACTCTGATTTTCAGACACATATTTCTTTACATATACCAAGGATATATTTGTATTTGATCTGTGTCTGAAAACATCCAATCAACTTTTGCTGAAAGCAAAAAAAGGGAGGACAGCACAGGATAATTAAGCAAAGGAAAATAATATTTTATTTCAGAGAAACTGCTGATTTGACCACGCATGTTTGTACAGAAATGCAGTATTTCAGTGAAAACCACAAATGTAAGACAGTGTATTAGGGAAGGGGTAATATTCCAGGAAAAAACTCTCTTTTTTTCTGTGTTCTTCTATGAACACAGTAAATACTAATATTGTGGAAGTTACAGGAAAGTAGTATAACAACCGAGTCCACATTTCTGCTCTACATCTTGGGGCCGGACCCAGACATGCTTTAAAAGTGATCAGTACAATCTTAAAATCAATTCTAAAACGAACAGGGAGCCAATGGAGAGAAGCCAGGATGGGGCGATGTGATGTAGTCTGTTAGGACCAATGAGAAGCCGAGCTGCTGCATTCTGATTGCTGCATAGATAACAGCTTCCTGCAGACACACAAGTACAAATGCACAATGCCTCTGAGGAGTTGTTGGTGTTGTTGCTATATCAAGCAAGCATGCTCAGTCTGCATTCTCTGTGTTTCCTTCTCACCCCACAGCCTCTTTCTCCGAACTTCTCCTCCTGGCGCTGGCCGTCGGGGGCGGCATCGCCGCTGTGGTCATCCTCCTCATCATCATTATGTCCTGCAGGCGGTGCAAGAAGAGGAGACAGAGACAGCATGAAGGGAACGAGGAGGCTCCCCGCAAAGAGAGAAAAGACCCCACTGTGTGGTAAGACCAAGAGAAAGACAGAATGGGGTGGAAGAAGGGGACAGAGAGAGGAACCGAAGAATTTCACACTTCCTCTCTCGCTCTTTGTTCAACTGTGGGGATCGGGGCATGTGGCGCTCCTTCTTGGGGTCTGGGGCTCTTTTCCTTCTGGACGTTTCACCTCCACCTTCCACTCCAACCGCAGTCTTTGGATCCCAAACCTGGACCATAGATGATGGGCAGCTGTCACTAACCAGATATAAATTAAGAAAGTGCCTTTGTATAGGATGCTAGATACAGAACTTAAGCCAGACTGTTGTGTAGCTTTTATGATGTCACCACGTGCCTTTCACTTCTAGAGAGAAACAACTATATTATCAGTTCATCTTTGCCGGTTCAGCTAAATGGGCTTCAAAAACACATTTCCTGTTTAGAGTAAATGTTTTGATGATGTAGAGGTCGAACAATGGTATATTCCTGCTGTTTATTTCCTTTCTAATACATTTCGAACCCCAACAATGCAGTACAAGCCGCATGTTTGATATATTGTTTCAACAAACAGTAGAAACTGTGGAACAATGAATGAGCAGCTTCCTAGCTTCTATTGAAATTTTGTTTTAATTACCAGATGATACATGATGAAACCCCATGCATATCTGTGATCTGTATCTATCAACCCTCATTTCAAAAGTTGTATATCAGCTGTCTGTTCCACTTTACTGTGGTGCTATCAAATAATCAAAACCTGATTTAGAGCACTTGTTGGAAACAGATATTTCACACAGTACTTTTGTAAAAAACAAAGAAAAAAAAACCCAACTTACTAGCACACAGTTAAATGAGATATCAATTCTAAATGTCATTGACAAAGTAACACATCTTTTTAACAAGTAGCCTCTCTGGTGACCAATTGTCTGTTTATAACAATGAGCTGTTTTGTCAAAAAAACATCTTTTTTTTTCTGGGCACGTGGGACTTCTTTGTTTCAATCTTGGGTTTTCAGATCTCTCTGTATCTCTCTGCTCCATAACTGGTTACTGTCACAACTGTGCTGCGATACTGTAACTCACTTTATTCATCAGACTAAGCACCTCAAGGAAAAGTTGAGAACTTTGCTGTCATCTTGGTCTTGATCAGATTTGTTCAAACTTCAAACCCACTCACTGAAAAACTTGGCGAAGGAAGGAAATATTTGTCACCCAATCAGATGGCGATGTGTAAACAGATGAATGATCCAACCTTCGCTCTCAACTTGGGACGACTTAAACCTGTGTGACACTAACCCTTTGTTCCTGCTGCTGTGCTTGTGTTGTCTGCTCATCTTTGTCCTGTCCTCATTGTGTGTGACTTATGCACATGCACGCACATACATAATTCATGAATATGTCATGCATGGATTCATATCACGCTCTGTGTTTGTGTGTGTGTGTGTGTGTGCGTGTGTGTGCTATGTTTCTCCCCCCGGTGCATGTCTCCCTCACCCCTCTGTGTGTGTCTCAGCCACCCATCGAGGGCCGTCCACCTGTATCTGTCAGAGACGTCCATAGAGATTGACAGTTCGGACGGCATGATCTCAGATGCCAGCACCAAAAGCATGAGCTCCTCGGAGGAGGAGGGCCCGAGCTCAGACGAAGAGGAGGAGGAGGACGACTCCGACTGAGGATGTAGGGACAGTCAGGGAGACAGAAAGACTGATGTGAAACCAGCAGGGAACCCCGCTGGAGGGATGCCCAGATGGCACCTGTGGATTTCGTTCCTCGGTTCTATCGAGCGGAGACCTGATAAAGACAGCGCTGCTGCCTCTGTGTCGAAAAACAAGCACATTGTTCAAGAATGGGAGGAAAATGGAAAGAAAGATATGTTTAAAGAGTAAGAACAAAGAGATTAGAGCATTGAAGGTCAAGGCTTCAGAAGCAGAGTCATTTTACTTTTGAGAGAATCCAGATATATCCACATGAAGGAAGAAATGCTGGATTTTACCTGTGAGGCTTCGGAAAAGAAAGGCATTATAATCCTGAAGCTGGCTACTGTGTCCTGAAAGGAAGAAGTGCCAAATCAGGCTCAACAACTAACTGTTGTCTCACACGGATCTTGTTAAGTCTTGCAAGGTTGAAAACCTTTCTTTGGTTGGCTTTATAGACAACAATAAGTCAAATCTGTGAGATTCTCGCTCACATGCTTTGCCAAAGCATTGTAGATGACGCAGGTCTCGCATTTATGCACAACCATACCTGCCAGTCGCAGAGACACACAGTCAGATCTGAAAACCCTTTGATTGCAACATGTCCTTAAGAGTCTTTTATCTCTCCGTGCATCTGTGAATGTATCACGTCTACTAACAAATGATATGTGTGTAGATTATTTTTTTCTTTCGATTTTTCTTTTACAGGATAAAACCAGAAGTATTTGATCACATTGTTAAAAAATGTCACTGTATGTGTTTGTTATAGAGCTTTTATATATATATATATAAAAAAGATTTTCTAATAAAAATGCCTTTAAATGTTTACCACATTGGGTCATGTTACATTTCACTTCACAGAGGTGATCTTGGCAGACACCAGCTGGGCCATAAATAATCACACGTAACTTGGGAAGATTTGAGAGAGCTCATCTATTATGTAAGAGAAGAATCTTGTTATCCATCATTTATTATGCACCATTATCTTGAATGCACTTCATCCAGTTGTGTGCTTATGGTGTGTCCGTCTGCACAGCTCTTCACTTGTTTACCTGTAAACATTACTGCAGTGAATCAGTGTTTAATTTGTTGCACGTCCAATATGTCTGCCTCTGTGACTGCTGGCTAGTTTATCGGATGAGAGTGTTCATGACTATGAATATGTTACTCGTGTTACACATCTTCGTGCTTGGGGGTTTGTGCGTTTGTGGGCATTGATCAAAGTCTATACCTGTGGGTGTAGCTTTAGTTACTGACCGACAGACCTAAAGTGTGTGTGTGTGTGAGTGTGTAGTTGTGGGCAGAGCATGGTTGACGAGCACTAAAAAGAGGGAAAGGAGGGGGGAGACAGAGTCTGTTTATCTAAGCTAAATAATTACATTTTGTTGTAGAGAAAGGCTACTAGTAATGAACTGATAAAACAACAGTGGGGTCTCTAGATAATCTTGTTTGTATCACCAAAGTGTCTGTTAATTACTCTGGCAGTGCGCAGACATTGGCCTCCTAATAATCCTGCCACTTCAGTAATCAATTGTGGGTGTGGAAACAAACATGTTTCAGGCTTATTAGAGTTCATGGGCAGAAACAATATGACAGTCACGTACGGGAAATCAACATTTTGTGGACGTAATGTGACAAAGATTTTTTTTTCAGCCTGGAAATGAATTTAATATCAGAACAGTTTAATATCTTAAAACCAAACATTGTAGAGAAGGCACATATGCTATTTTCTCCAGTGACAGCATGGCAAATAGACCAGAATGCAATGCAACACACGGAGCACTTTACATTTTGAGTGAAAACTATGACATTTTTTCTTTTGACTGTTGCTATGCGATCATCGCTGCTGTCACTCACTCCACCCAGACAAACACAAAAACACATCTGCGTGCTGCAAGTTCATGCCTGTTCTCTGATGATTGCCAAGTGGCAAATTTAGGAAAGTAGGGAAAGAAAATGAGAGATATTGAATATCTGTTGCTGCTGAGCAATCAGCTGGAACACCAGGCAGATATTAGCATGTTGTTCCCAACACCTCCTGTTTTAATGTCCTACCTGCATCAACATGATGGTAGCAGGCAATGCGAGCCAAACTCCTGGGAGAGGTGCTCTCAACCATTCCTTGTTCATGACTCATTTAACGAGCCATTCTCGGCCACAATGCGTTCGTTACTGCAACACGCGTGAATCCTTTCTGTAAGCAATAGGCTTTGTTTGATGAAGGGAGGAAGGACACATCGTTCTTTCTCTCTCTCTCCCACTTGGTCTATGTCTTGCTTCATCTCTCTCCCTTGATTTTTCCGTTTGCTGCATTCCACACCTTAGGAAGGGTTGTACCTGGCCCGTTAATGTGGAGAGGCACTAAATCCCTTCACACATACTTACACACTAACTCACACAGGCTTGGCACGACAGGTTGTGGAAAGAGAAAACAAATCACCTCACTGACCGTGCGACTGAATGTCGCACTGTGACTTATATGGACACCCCAACACACACACACACACACACCCATGTGCACTCAAACACTACAGTTACTAATCCATTCAATCAAAAGGTGGAGAGTCAGCTTTATTTGCCTTCGTGTACTGCATTGAGTAGGGCCTCCTATAGCTATTGTGCATGAGTAATGCTGCCATACTCATTTGTGACAGCCCTAAGAAAAGTGTCTGCATTATAACTTTAAAAATACACTGAGTGCACTGGAGTGCATTGGGTACAACTTTTCAACTATTCGGTACATAGAGTGCATATAAACTGATGAAAAGACAGAAAGGCTCTCACGTTTTCTTCGGCTGAAGTTAATAGTTACGTACACCGTCTGGCACCAACAATTTAAATCACCTTTATTAGTCCCCTCCCGTGTTGACAACAGAAGAACAGGTCTCTTGTTGACCAGAGTCGCCAGAAAACCAGTGAGTTGGGACTGAGAAGATTTCAGCCGAAACTGAGACCACTCTACTGTAACCAGACAGAGAGCCCCTGTATTCACACACACAATACGCAACACAATGTAATGGTGTGTGTGTGTGCGGGAGGACCCAGGTAAGAGGCATTCAACTTTATCTTCCAACAAAAGATGGGGAATCTCTGTCAAACTCAAGCAGATTACTCTGTGTAATATACACACAATACATGTGGAACGCATACGTTCTGAAAGCTCCCAGGTTAGGCAAGTCTTTTAACTCTGCATCTATAAAAAAAAGGAATTGGTATCTCCGCCCCAGTGTGGGAACTGTTACATAATATTGTTAACAGATGCAATACAAACACTGTGCTGGTGAATGAATGCGGGGAGGAGCAACCCTGCACCAATCTCTCTCTACATCTCCAGCATCCACAGAGATCGGCAGCGAGTTTGGAGTTTGGAAGGAACCGAACATAAACACAAAGGGCCGCCAGGTGAGAGCATGAGGCAAAAATGCTGTGTGCTTTACTGCACCTGTCTATGGGGGAATTTCTGGACCCCTGTCAAAAGGTAAACAGTGATAAAACTTTCACCCAAATTTCCTCTTCATTATGCCTGAAACTCACTGTCCAGACTGCTTTCTTACATTCATTATTTCCACATGGTCTGCGATTAATTGGAAGTTAGTTATGCATTCATTTTTATTTATTGTATGGCATCTCTACTTTCCACTTACTAGAGAGCCTCTAGGCATGGCTGCTTTTTAATTTTGAATCAAGTTAGGTTGCAAAGTTAATAATAAGCGTTTTGCTCATACTCATTAATTCTGCATCAAATTAGTTTTCTGCAACACGATTAGCTTTTTTTTTCAGAGTACACAGGATTATTTGTTTAGAAATTGTTTTTCTCGTGGCGCCATGCTGTTATGTATTTAACTCCAAATAAAACGCAGCTTATATAGGTTGTAGTTCTGGCAAACACTGAATCAGATTATGGCACACATCTGTTTTATACACAGTGTATTTCAGGGAGCAGGACCCAGAGTAACAGAGGATGCTGCTCTCATTCGATATCCTCTGATATGAAATGAGATGGGGTTACACAACACGACTACAGCATCTCTGTTGTCAGGATGGAGGAAACGCTGCAGGCAGACCAGATGGATGTAAAGATGTAACTGACATATCCAGCCCAAATCAAGGCATAAATAAACTTCAAAAGGACTCTGTATAAACATGTAGTGGAGAGATAAAGCATTACACCGGAGTGAAAATGAACCAGCAAAGGCTTCTCCCATTAGAGATAATTACAACAGTAAAGACAGGAGATTGGGGACAGGGATATGCCTAGAAATAGCAGGGGAGTCCCACTAGAGCATCCCTGGTTTCAAACAGAAGCTGGCTGGGGAGATAAAGTAAGGACTTGGCCTCTGGCCGCCACACAGAGGGGTCACACGAGGGTAAAGAGAATGTGTTGTATTTTAATATGTTTTTATTTTTACTCCACAGCCCAGGCCTATTTTGAAAGTCAAACTGCCTCACCTAACATTTCATTTTTCACAATCAACACTTGATGAAGGCACTTGCAAATGACAAGGTAGTATGTAAACCATATACTTTGGTGTTTCATTTTTACCTCTTTGCTTAGGATTTCATTAAACTCATTTTACAAAATGAGGAAGATCTTGGGTAGATAATAATTAGAATAAATATGAAACAAAAGAACTCATACCCTCTAAGCTAAAAAATAAATCCGGTTTGAATTGATCTTCAGTATGAGTAATTAAATCCCTCCATACGAAACATATTTGCCTTCTGAAAAGAACTAGAACATTATTATTATTATTATTTATGTTATCATCATTATTTTTTTATTAGAATTTATTTACATATTCACTTATGGGTTCTCTGTAATGTCCAAGTTATTTTTCAAAAAAGCAGCTTGCTAAACTCTAGTCCCTTTTACAAATGATTAGCAGCTTTAAGAGTCTATTTATTGTACAGACCCATATCATATTATTAAAGGACTTAATAGTTGATATAATGTCTCAGACAGCACACGCACATCATAGGGGACGTCTTCCTCCCTTCATTTAAGTGTTACAGTTAGATGTTGTTCTACTCTCAGGGATCCGTCCGCCACTTCCTGATACACCTGTTTGTCAGGTAGGGCTGTCCGCCCGCACAGTCTGCACAGGCGCCACGGAGAAACTGAGTCATGACCACATAGATAATGGACGGTTTTTTTCCAAAGCTTTGACGCAACTTGAGACTTCTATCGTCATGCGAGTGAACCCGTTTCCACAACTTAAAATGCGTCGACCACGTCGATGGACCGGCTCTCTGAACGTCTTACTGCTGTATCTTGTCGTCTTTCTCGGTGAGTAAAACAGGCCGCAGCTCCGCCATGTATCGCGCCTCTGTGCGTTTCAACACACCGGAGCGAAACTCCGTCTCACTGAATGTTTGTCCCCGGACGTACAGGCTACTAACCGGGTCGGTTTTGGAATTCCCTGTAACATGAGCTCACATTTAATTGTTCACGTTTAATTTCGATGCCAACATGAAAACAGTTGATCTACAGCTCAGTAAACACTGTCAAACTCCACGAAGAGACTGCCCCGTATTTTGTTTTTAGGTGGTTTGCGCAGTCTCTGTTTTAGCCTAATGACGCATTTAAAGTCATACATGTTGGTCAGTTGCTGATTTAAATTAGTTTTAACAAGTCAAAATAGCCCATTTAAATATATTCCAATGTAAGCTGCCTCTGAGGGGCTACAGGAGCAGATCAGTGTGAAAGAACATGCTCAGAGGGATCCTGACAGCAGGTATGCGGTGAGTTAAGAGCACTGCCTTTAAGAGCACCGTCTCTTTGCCAATTGCATTACAAACATGGCTCTGAACTGTGGGCAGCTGTTTAACTCCCTCTGAAATCCATCGGATCTGTTTTTTTGTTGTTGAAGTAATAAAAATGCAGTAATGGCTGCTGTGTGTCTTGGTCAGAGCACAGGGCTGCATAAAAAAAGATGTTGCTGCAGATTCGTATCATTATGGTTTGTCTTTATTTGATTAGATTGGGAACGTTGTCTGCCAGTAGACAATACATTTGATGCCTTCCTTCTCTCCTGTAATTGTTTTTTCTTCCTCTCTTAAAAATGTTATGTCCATTCGTCTTGTAGGAACTAGGTGTCGACATCACCACTGATGAGCTGCCAGCTTCCCGGTCCCACCACTAATTACTAGATCGACACAATCACGTCTTCAAGTTCAAGAGGCCCCTCTGCTTGATTTTCCACGTTTACAGAAGAGATAGCTTTGGTCATGTCGCATCGCTCACCCCCCCCGTGGAGGTCTTTGTAGATGAGTCGGGCTGATGGCGTGGTATCTTTTGTGTAGCGTGAACTTTGTCCTTATCACAGGCTATTTCAGGTCTCGGATGGAAAATGTGGTCAGTGTGAGACGGGATGTATCAGAACTGATAGTCGCTTCATCATTGGAGGAAAAAAGCAGTTAGAGGCTTGCGCTTTGAAATGGAGGACTGTTTTCATCTATGTCCAAATAGCCACACATGTGTATTAATGTCACAAATGGGGCATTGACATGCAAATATAACCAGTTTTCTATGTTGACAGTAAACAGCCAGGAGGGACAATGACACATTTTGACGGCACCTTGTGTTTTTAGCCGGCAATGTCCGTCCACCACTTGGGTCCAGACTGACATATCTTAACTATGGGATGGATTGCTGTAAAATAGCTAAAGATATTAAAGGACCCAAGAGGATGAATTCTAATGACTTTGGTGATCCTCCAGCTTTTCCTCTAGCGTGACCAGCAGGTCACAGCTTTCATTTATTCAAGGAAATAGCTTCATATCTACCAGTTGGATATAATAGTATAACAGCTATTCTGTGTTGTGGAGGAAAAGAGTTGTGCCTTCATCTTTGTCACTTTGTTGGTTGTGGATATATTATCCTACACCAGCTGGCCTGGCAAGCTTGGCTTCTACACCTCTCTTGAGTTATGGAAATCAACTGAACCCAGTATTTATTAGGAAAAGTGGCTTTATAATGACTCGATGTTATACAATATTGTAAAGCTGTCTTGTTCATGGGTACAGCCGAGCAAGCCCCTCGAGTATACTTTGTTGCGAACATTGCTTTGGTCGGCCTCCCTTTGCATTCTGAATAACGTGATAACAATGAAAAATCCAGAGACGCATGGTCAAAGCTCTATAAGCATGCCGAAGACAGACGTGTAGCGATCGGATACAACGAGAGAGGCTGGTGAGGAACTTGTGTGAGAATTCCTTCAGTGTTTATCTGGAGGAATTTGCTGTGCCGACACTTTCACATCACCGCATTGCGGGTATGTATGTGCTGTCAGGTTTGTTTAGTCACTAACTCGCAGTAAGTGAGTAAAATGTCTCACTCACAATGTGTCCTCCTTTCTTTTTGTCCATGAAGGAAAAGGGGGCTCACCCAGACATGTAAATCTGCTCCCATCCCCTTTCCCTTTTTTCTTTTTCATCCTTTGTCGCTCTAACGTCATCTTTTTGTACGCTCCTTCTCTCCTCCGATCCTCAGCTCCGTCCCCGGTCTCCTCCATCATAGTGAACACCCCGGCAGAGCTCCATGCATCTAAATTGGACGCCGTCACATTGTCCTGCACTTTCACTTCCACCAGTAGGCCGACCAGTAAGATGACGGTCGACTGGTCCTACAGGCCCCAGAGTGGAGGGGCTCCACTGACGGTGAGTAGACATTTATCAGAACAACTGTCAACAAAAATGAATGCTTCTGTGGCTGCACTGTACAGTACTGTCTCAATAAGAGCTGAAACGATTGGTTGATCAGGATGATAATCCATCTATTGTTTCACTCATTTAAAAATCACTGCTTCCAGCCTGTAAAATATTTGCTACTTTTCTTTGCACACTATGAAAATACTTTCAATATTTAGGATTTGTTTGCCTGACGAAACAAGTAATTTGCAGATGTCACCTTGTGCTTCTGACAGAGTTACATAACATGATTTAAAAACAGGACAAAATCCCCCTCCTAATATATGTTCAACAATTAAAACAATCACTAGTTGCAGCCTCAATTAGTTTTAACCGCTATAATGTTTACTGAACTTTCGGTGCTGCTAAGTTATTTCCATTTATTTAGTAAGATTGCTCAGGTATGTGACCTCCATGGCTCCCTCTGTACAAACATGACTTGTTTGAATATCTGGCTGCTTTATTTGCACATTCGTGGCTGGCCTGACTCTTGATTCCTGAACCCTCAGGAGCCCGTGCACCCTGAAGCAAACTCCTCAGCCCAATGTGTGTACTAATCAGCTTTATTTATTAACATCACTGTTGAGCTAATGTGCAGGTCTATGCCCATTCACATTCCACAGCCCAGCCTTTATGTCTTCTGGAGGAAATCCCGGCTGGTCAGCTCCCATAATACCCCTCTTCCTATGTGGTGATCTCGTGGTCTTGTTCGAAGTGCCTTCAGATGTTTCCTTCTCAACCCGTAACTGCACTCAGTCCTCTAACCCCGCACAGTCCGCGTTCAGTTTCAGCGACCAAGCCACTAAAAATCCACCACATAATTTAAGAAGTTCCATTTGTATTTGAAGATAGCCATCGAGTGTGGTATTGTGTAATTGCATTTGGACCATGGGAATCCATAGTGTGGTGGCGGCAACCCTATATGCTCTCATTTCCTATAGGAGCACTCAGGAGTTAAGTGGAGGCTAATGTTTTGTGGCTCTGCTGTTATGGAGTGCTGTTGGTTTAGTCATTAAGATGCAGTTGTTTGGCGTGTTGAGGGAGGAGAAGAGGAAGGGCTTGGTACACATTGTGTGTGTGTGTGCGTGTGCGTGTCAGTAGTATCAGTCAGCAGATTGCGTGGTATTACTCCACAAAACTGGTATTCCTAAGAAAGGTGTACCGGCTGCTGCCTGAGGAAACGCCGCAGCAGTGCCTGTACGTCCTTCAAGCCACGACTAGTTTGTTGTCTTTATCACAAATTAAATAAGCGTGGCAGTTTCTTAACACGGCCCAAAGATGCAACCAAGTATGGAAGTTTTTTTTTTTTTTCCTTTCTGTTTCTCAGCCTTCATTTACTTTCCATCCAATTTCATTAACGGTTCTGGCAGGTTGGTTGGCCTGTGTGTCCCCAGTCGTATATCACACTGGGTAAGTGGGTAAGACCATGAATACGCATGTGAAAAGCGCCGTCAGAAAATACGATTTTCTTTTTTTTTTTTTTTTTTTTTTTGCAGCCCAAGCTTTCGTATCAATCTGTATTGCTGCAGTGCTTCAGTGACTTGCATAATTACCTCAGTCCTGATGAGAATTCATTTATTTAGATCGGAGCGGAGAGGCCGAATGTTCAGTCAAATATCAGCCGATGGTAATTGGAGGAGTTGGCAATTTAATTGAGCGGAGTATGGGTAATAAATCAATTAAGATGATGGAAAATTCAGTCGGGCACTGTTTTAAATGTGCCGAGTCATTGGAAGCTTCTGTCTAAATCATCGTCTGGATTTGTAGAATGGTTTGACCCCAGGTGAAAACAATCCAGAAGCCATGGCCGTGTGGGAGCGTTTCCCATGACTTTAAAAGGATCACTGGGTCTAATGTTTGTTTCCAGACTGAGCAGACTCTCACGTAGCTGCTCTCATGCAGGCCGAGCTTTGCCAAGTCCTCAAATGATCAGCCAGGCCTACGATCAGTCCCTCAGACAAACGCAGCTGATAGACGCGCCGTTGTAAAACTGTATCAGTGTCCCTGATTGTTCAGATTGATTCTGTTTTAAAAAATTCTCTTTTTATGCCTCAGTTTATTAAAAGGCCATACACCGTTATCTATGTTGACATTATTCCTTGTGTGTAATTCTACTCTCTTCACATACTGTACAATACCGAGGCGTACAAATGTTTTAGAACCCAGTGTGATGCCATGTGGAGACCGGATTATCCAAACACTGATTTGACACATTTTCAATAAGATGGAAGTTTATTTTTCCTCATATTTTCATGGATAGTACATTACATATACACGTACTTTCCTTGTCTCGATATGCTCCGCTACTGTTTTTTGTAAACCATGTATTGCTTTTCATTGTTAGAAGATCATGCCCTTGGTTGCCTGTTTGCATCGGTGACTGTGACTGTGTTCGTCCACGGCTAATCTCGCGTTCTGCTGCAGCAAACTGCATAATATTTTGGGTGGCCAGTTATGGTTGCGGTGACTCACATTTTTCTGTAAACATCTCTTATTTCCTGTTTTATATCACCATTGACAGCCTGCTTTTATCTACTGTTCGTAGTCGAGCATTGAGACGTACAGCCGTGTTTCTTTCTGCGAAGAGATTCGTTGGTATTTTGGTGGAAAATGGCTCTTGACGTTGAGAATAGACGTCTCGGGAACACGTCTCGTCTGTTTCTGCCGCAACGTCACTCATCTACCACTTTGGTGCTTTTAATAACTAAAATGAAATACTTGCAGCAATTAAACACTCCTCAACCAGTAGATGCGTTTACATCTGCGGAAAAAAAGAGCGTTCAATGTTGATAAAGCAGCACTACCTGTAAATCCGTCTGCGTTTATCTATAAGTTAATATAAGGGATTCTTGTTGTCCTCAGCTGATTTCTGCTGTGTGAAAAGCTTCTACTTCAGTTCATCAAATCCCTGCAGCCATCTGCAGCACGACAAATATGTTGAGAAATCCGCAGCATCCGATTTGAGAAGCCAGAGTGCAGTGCAGTTATGCGCAGCGTCCGCTGTACAAATGACACCAGGCTGCTACAGAGGAACCACACGCATCAGACTGGTGCATGATAACTCTTGTGAGAGACCTTGGACTACTGGAGCTCATTATTTACGTGCACCACGGCCGCCTTTCCATTCCTTCAGAATACATAAATCTTCTGTTCATGTTTTATTCGTGAATACATTCAGAAGCAAATGCTGCAGTGTCACATTTTAAGATATGTTGCCATTTACAGTGTGAAATAAAGAAACATTTTGACTGAAGTAGCATCGTGTTGATGCGATCATGTACACTGCTTCACCAAACTACTTTTAATTCTTTGCTTCAATCATCATTGCACCATCTCGGGGGTTTTCAACCTTTTGTAACTTAAGGCCCACAAGCTCATTTAGATATATGAATAACTAGCTTTTTGAATTACCGAATTCTTTTATTTTTAATTTAATCTAACCGTTTGGTCAGTACCTCCGCTGCCCTCTAGATGGTGCTCTGATGCCCACCAGTGGGTCCCGGCCCAGTGGTTGAGAACAGCTGCTTTAATTAACTGATTAAAAAAAACTCCACGCCATCTGCCTCATGATGCAGATTTGTGCCCCGTCCAGATAACATGATTTCATGGAGAAGGCGACGTTTCATTCGTTGAGCTCTTGTCGTCATGCACTGTGATTGGCACAGCTGTTTCAGAGGGATGAGAACAGTAATGTGATTGGCTGACCACACCCTCTGGTTTAGATTCCTCTTCACCCGGCCCTTTTGCACTTTGCGCTGCTGCACCTACATGGGTTAAAATAGCAGGTGTGCTCGGAGACACCCACACAGTCTGTTCCACCAATACGTAGTTGCACTTGTGCAATTAAAATGTGGCTCTATAGTTTTAATGTGAAAGGAGCTGCATAGATTGGTCGGCTGCAAAAACATCGTTTACACGTTTTTAGAGGAAATCGATAACTCTATTCTGCTGCAGCTCTGATTTTATCCTGCAAATAATTTAAAAGCCATTTATGTGACTCAACCAGCTCAGTACAAGACGTAGTGAGCAGAGTAATGACCAGTCACTCGTATTGCGTTACTATTTCTTCATCTTAAAGTTAGGGTTGGCAACTAGCAAGAGTACGCTAGATTTAAAAAATGATCCAACCTAAAAATCCAGCTCCAAACATTGCTAAATCGAGCAAGAAAGTTGCCAAGTCGGCAACACTGACAGCCCGTCCCTTCATGCTTCCCTCAAAGGGCACAACCCGCTAATTATAATTATGGACGTCAACATATCATGATGAACTTTAACAACAAACTATTGTAAGTACTCTCAGCTGTTCTATTGCAAACCAAGTCTACCTACGGGTACAAATAACAGTAACCTGAACCTGATAACACGTATTAAACACAAACTCTACTCTCTGAGTTTACTGTGTGAAAAACGTATATATTGTAGTATCTCTACGTTTCCATTTCCCCTTCTCCACACACACACACACACACAGCACACTCACACTCAGGATGTCATGTTGTGGAGAGGTCTGGGTCAGCTTGGCGTGGGAGTAATGACGAGATGGAGTCCGCTCTTGAAAACACAGACTTATGTGGTAAATGTTAAACTAAATTCAGATTTGGAGATACCTGTAGTTCTGAATTTCTCTCTCTCAGCGAGACTCGTGCTCACACACATGCAAGTTCTTGGCCTTGTGCTCGATCAGAATTTGATTGGTATTTCTTAGACTGAACAGGCAGCGCTCTTCACTCTGCTATCAACAATATTGCCAAAAGAAAATGTCCCACCACCATCTGTCCTGCCACCTGTTGCTCAGACACTTTCCCTCAGGCAGAAAAATTACAAGTTAGATTTAGGAGTGATGATGATTCTTATTATATGCAGTCTGAAGAAGAGAGCTGATCGTTGAGATACAGTTTACTTAGGTATTGCCTTCCAGATGAGACTGCTATTCATGATGATAAATGCATAATACATCACCGTTTTGTCACTTTTTCTTCCCTGAATCTTGCCTTACCTGATGTGTTCGTCACTAAGGCCATCTACTTTGTTATTTCTCCTTCCTCCCAGCACCAAAACACGGTGTTACAGCCTTGCCCACAGCACACTCTATTCGACCACACCCATATGTTTCATGCAAATAAAATATATATATATATTGTTTCTCCCCTCTCCAGTTTTTCCACTTCTCCTCACGGGCGTTCCTTCCGCCTGACGGTCAGTTTGTGGGTCGCATCCAGTGGAAGGGAGTCCCGGCGCGCGGGGAAGCTTCCATCTCTCTGATCAACGCCACGCTGAAGGACAACGGGACGTACACGTGCTCCGTCAGAAACCCCCCCGACGTCCACGGGTCGCCAACCTCGCACACGGTGCTCACTGTCACTCCTAAAGGTACAATGGTGCACATGCACGCATGCAAAAAGTGAACAAGCGGGGCCCATTTCTTCACACAATGTCATAATTCTTCATCTCCATATTTAACCTCTTACATTTGGAGTTCCTCCAGTTGCGAGCACACTTGAATGCCTGTAACTTAGCTGGACTCTTATGATACTTTCTGGAGTCCTTATAATATATCATATTTATCTTTCTCGACATGTATGATATTAAATCACGATCACTGGTGTCTGGATTTGGCTTCTTTTTTTTTTTTTTTTTTTCTCTCGCTATAAATTGCATACTGTGTATATGAGGAGACGGGCCTGAGAGGAGGAAGTTTAACATTCCCTTGCCAGCCTCATATTTTTCAATGGCAGCCTAATCCAAACATCTATTTGGTGTTTGTGTTAGCCTGTCATGATGTTAGCCATATTGGACTGTAGATTAGAGGCGGGGATGTAGTGGAGGGTAACTCACCACATCGAAGTTACAGATCTAAATGTTTCTGACCTAAATAGATGATGATTAAACTAAGATAAATGACAACAGGGGTTCTTTTTGTTCTGGTTAACGTAGATATAGCGTGTTCATTGATGAGCTTTGGAGTTGCTGTTTCCCTCTGGTTTAAGTGTTTATGCTAAGCTAAGCTAACCGGCTCCTGCTTCAGCTTCATATTTACCATACACACGTGAGAGTGGCATCGATCTTTTCATCCAACTCTCTCGAAAAAACGCATTTTCCTTTAAGTAGCTTTTTTCATAATAGTTTTGTCTTGTTTTGGTGGTCGTCATATTTCTGTTATTAAATTGGTGATTATTTAATGCTAACAAGACACGTGTAGAACTGCTGTATGTGCTGTGTATGTGGTGTACATGTCCAGTTTGTATGTGAAGGTAATGCGTGTGTTGGTGAGTGCGGCGTGACGCGGTTGTCACAAACTAGCTTGTTAAAGTGTTTCTAATGACCTCACATCGTCGTCCCCAGTGCCCAGCATTCGCTTCTCTGACGTTGCGGTCCTTCTGGCTTTCATCCTTCTCCCCTCCGCTATCATCACCCTCATTCTGATTGGACGGATGCTCTGTCCCAAGAAACAGCACAGCCCATCGCAGGCTTACAGATCGCCCATTGAGGTCACAGAGGGGTGAGTAGATTTACTCAACCAATCACTGCTGTGGGTCTCCTGGGGGCAATCCTAGTCATTGCAGGCTTTGATGGTTATAAATGTGCATCTGCAATGCTAATTCGATGAAGGTTAAACAAGAATTTAAGTGTGAGTTTAAGGTTTGATTTGTTTCAGCTTGTTGTAGAAAGGCGCTGTGAATCAGTGAGGAGTCCAGCAATAAAAAAATCTGCAATTAGCTGATTTACAGGCAGGTTTTTAGTGTAGCAAGTTACTCCCTGTGGTTTGAAGTCACACGGGAGCTGTGCTTGCTCTTTTGACTGATGTAATACCGGAATATAAATGTTAAACAAACCAGTGCTACTCTGTAACGCATGTTTAACAGATTGCATAAATAACATGGACAGGATTATTTGTGCAGCAACTCTAGCTCTCTTTAGGCCCGGTGTTTTTGTTTTTCATTATGTAAAAAAAAAAGTCTATTCATTGTTATTTGTTTTTTGGGACCACTCTGCAGCTATATCATTGCCTTTTCCGTATATATTGAGGTACTCTAATCTGCAGTGCTGCCAGAATCTCTTTTCCATTTTTCATTATTTCTTTATTTGGAGTTCCCAAAACCACAGTGAGATGATCCTGTTACAAAATGCACTGAAGTATAGTCTTACAGCAGGACATTGGGCACATTTCTGAAAGAATAGTGGGAAACATGCTTATTCTCTTTATTGCCCAGAGTTGGATAGATACGACTCGGTGTGTGTATAGGTAAATACTGAGTATAGAGATGCACCGGTCGACTGGCTACAGGTCGACATTTACACACACGTGCCTCATGATGGTTTTACCTCTCTCTCTCACACACACACACACACACACACACACACACACACACACACACACACACAGCGGAGTTTGTTAACCTCGACCAGGGCCACGCTAGCTGTTTCCTCCTGTTTCCAGCCTTTATGCTAAGCTAAGTAACTAGCTGCTGGCTCCAACTTTAGGAAAGTTAATTAGCAAATTTCCCAAAATGTTAGAATTGTGAGAATTGGATTAAGTCATTGTGCTGAATTCAAGTAATTATTTGGTGTAAGTCTGTGAAAATGCTGAGCCGTAGCTTGATGTGTTTGTGTTTAGAGCAGATATGAAGTACAGTGTCAAAATGTAACGGGCAGGCTTTTTTTCATGGCACTTGTGAGTGTGATGATCGTCATTACTAACCATGTGTGCTGTCCATTCTGCATTCATCAGAGAGGAGTACGCTGTCCACCCAGCGGAGCCCAAAGCAAAGAGGGCCACGTGCTGTCAGCTATATCTGATGGTACGGTTCAGAACGTTTCATTTTACGTCAACCCATAAATAACTTAATAAGACATGTCTGCCAGATCCATTTCATGTTAAATTTTACATGCCCTCTATGTCTGACAACAGGACTTCAGGGTTTATAAAATATTGATTTTTCCAATGGAGTTGTTTTGTGTGTGTGTGTGTGTGTGTGTGTGTGTGTGTGTGTGTGTGTGTGTGTGTGTGTGTGTGTGTTTCTGACTGTACGTAGCTTTATCTGACACTCTGGTTTTCTGGTCCGGCCAGGACTCGGAGGATGAAGACGAGTATTGCGACCTAAAAAAGAGGCCTCCTGTGGATGACGAGTATGCCGAGTCTCAGTGCTAGACAAACCCTGCTGGTTGGGAGCCGTAACTGCTTAAACCTGCTGGTGCCTCACACGTGGGAGGTACTGAATGCAAATTAATGCTGGATCCATGTCTTCTTTGCCACAGTCAACCACTGACTCATTCACTTTGGTGATGTTTACTCTAGGTGGTGACCCCTTTGGAATAATAATTTCCTGTATACCGTTGACTACAAGCTCCTAGATTTTCTAGGGCAAGCCAGAGGGCTCAATTCCTAAATTTTAGAGCTCGTAGTTGATGAGATATTGTCTGTTTGCTCTGTCTCGACAGGTAAGCAGCTAGTGTCATTCTGTCAGCTCCCACCTGACCCTGTACATACAAACACAAATGAGCACCGTGTATTTTTATATCTTGATGATTTATGTGTGTCACTTTCTTATTGTGAAGGAGATGGATGCGTGTTTTTTGTCTAATTTATTGCCTGTGTCAGAGTGTTTATATGAAATCTGTCGATGCCTTTGTTGAGCTGTACTGGAACATTTCTGTTATATTCTTAAGGTTTTGGACAGAAAACAAAATGCTTTGATTTTGAGTCGGCTATGACAACATAGTACTGTTTATGCCATACGTTGTGTATACAGTATATTTCTATATTTTCAGTGTCTGTACATAACTCTACCGTGTCATTATTTCAACATCAGCAGTCGATGTGTGTGTGTGTCACCTCAGTATATTTGATGTCTGAGTTTGGATGTGGTGTTTCATGGATGAGATGATTTCATGTGATATAACAGGATTGAACCTTTGTTTTGGATGCACAGCTTTGCTTTAATTACATATATGTTTTTGCCCAAATGAATAGTTAAGGATCAGATTCTTCTGGCTTCGTGATGGATGATCATGATTGTTTTTACAATGGTTCTTCCAGCGAGTTAATAAAGATACTTTGCTCATTAAATTGGTGCAACTCTGTTAGCGAACCGAGACGGTTTGTTGGTAAAGCTTATACGACCACCATTTTCTCCTCTGCTCTCTCTTTGTTTTTGAGCTTTTGCACTATTCATGAACGTTCTTAAATATTCCTTTTAAAAGTCATCGGGACACGCTGGAGTCTCAGAGCGTCACTCACAATTGCGGCAGCATCTGCTTCATCCGCGCAGTCGTGTGGCTCTCAAGTCATAAAGAGACCTAATAAAAACCCTCCAATGAAACACACAGTAACCCGTAAGTCCTCATTCTGTCATTTCTTTTACATTCCTCATTCAGCTCCATTCATGCCCTCTAGGTTTTAATAATTCACATGCTGCTATGGTGGAACAATTATCATTCCTGCTTCACCTGAACTACCATGGCAACAGCTTACTCATGTCAGACGGGGACAAAAAAAAACAATATTGAAGGAAGAAAAGATGCAGCCGACTGCCTGGGCTCGGTGTTGGGGAGGGGTCATTCTGAAGGAACAACACAGAAATACAATACAGAAATACACAGAACAACACAGAAATACAATCGGTCACGTTTACAGATTTACTATCAATGCAGGTCTGCTCAGCATTTCTTCTAAATGTTCTATTAAGCCAGAATGTTTGTGTTTTATCAACTTGGATTCTCTCTTTGGGTTTAGCAGAGAGGAGGATCAGCGCTGTAGATTTACCTTATTTATCCAAAAGTATTCTGGCTTCGTTACTGGGGGGGGGGGGTCTTGGGATACAGGAAATGTTGGTCCAAATCTTAACGGTGAAATACAAAACTCTCCTAAACGGCAGCATTTCGAGGAAGCCTGACCCACCGACGATGGCTGAACCTCAACACCAGCTCCACCCCTGCCTCAGAAAGTGAATTGATTAGTGATGTCAACGTGTGCCTAACACCTTGGTAAGTAGATGAAATGACCAGTTTCACACATCTATTCAGTGCTTGAGTTTGACAGTTTCCTCAGGTAGTAAATTGGCGGTTACCGGTATGTATCAACACTGGTTTTATCTGCACTGTACTGCAGGTTGTCACCATACAATATTAGTGATTATAATAGAACTTTGGGGTAAAAGCAAGACAGTGTACTTTCTCTTGAGTCAGCACATTGTGTCTTCATGGAATAACACCTGTGTGACATTGTGTGAGTGCAGCTGGGTTGGATGTAGAGAGTCCCAGAAGTGGGACACCTGGTCCAATTTCATTTCATTCCAGCTGGTGGGAAAAACCTTTGATTTCCATCCTCTGGGTCATAGTCCTCTGCTGTCTGGGATCATACTGAGACAAGAGAGGAACGACGGCTGGTCAGCAAGTTGTTTATGGCTAAACTAAATGTTCAAAACTAGATATTCGCTGCAAAGCAAATACTTAGGAACTAATAACAATGCACCGAGACAATTTATCTGCTTCCCGATGACTCGGTTAATGAGTTTTGAATATTAGTTGCATGTTTTAAGTCTACCGTGAACAATGTAGACTGGACAAGGAGTCAAATACTTGATGCTGACATCTAGGATACATTTCACAGTAAAGGTGTATAAGAAAAAAAGATCGATGGATGTATGAATCCATGACTATCACTTTAATTGACACATTTTGTTATGTTCTCTGATTGGATGGCTAGTTGAGTATTTCAGTATATTTGATGCGGTGGTTTCTGGATTTGGATAGAGTCACTGTGGAATTAGTGCGCTACACGAATCCTAATTTGTTTGAAAATAAAGGAAAAGAAAACGTAGTAAGATAGTGGAGATATAAAAAAAAAGAAAAGAAAAAAGTAAGTCGTGTGTGTGTATATTTATGTTATCTGTTCTTTTACGCTGAACTGGCCACGGATTCATCGTCATATTTAACCATCCAGGCATACAATGGCTTCATTGTGATTCTTCCTTTTTTGACATCTGGTCTAATCAAACTCCTGCTCACTGATTGTCAGTCGTAGTTCCTCTCCAACGATGCTCAAGAAGATCTACTCAGCAGTGACTCATCTTCTTATGTGTGACATTTTGGCAACTTCCACTTATTGTTTCCCTCCCACTGTCATTGGCTTTTAGCCATAATATCACCAATTATGTATCACTTAGCATTACTTTTCTGGTAATACCAGTGTTAAGTGGTGAACTTGTGGTCACAGTCTTGAGACACCAGACAGAGCTTACACTTCTGACTTTCAAAACCGATGCATACCTACTGTCCGTCCCTGTATGTTGTTACATTTTTATTCCTCTTTTACAGATGTTTCTGTTTGATCTCTGCACTAATGAGCTGGTCCGCCAACTTCAATGGGTAATATTTCATGTCAGATATGGCAGATCTGTGCAATTATTTGCTAAAAGAGTCTGAACATATTATGTGTTGCACCTCGAAGATCACACATAACCTCTTGACATTTTTAAAAAGCTTTCTGTATACGTGTAAGCCTGATGTACAGTAGATGTAGTCTGCCTGAGTCTTTGTGTTTATATCTTATGTCCTCCTTTTTTGTCAAAATATGGATGAAATCCTCGCAACCACTTTTCCACATCTTCATAACGGACAATTAATTGATTGTAATGGTTATGGTACATTTATTTTTAGCTCTTACTCTAATAGTTCAAGATAATTTGCAGTTATTAGATTGCGTGTGAATCTCATTGTCTTTTACAGATGCAGTGACCTTTCGTGGTGCAAATGAGGAGCTTCATCACTGCCAGTTTGAAAGGACAGACTGCATTGTTGCTGTACAATGCTACAAAGAACAGCTTCTATTCAAAGGTATAGGCACCTACTTTGAAACAAATGAAGAAGAAAATGAGTAATGGGACCTTCAGTAATGGCAGGTCCTATTCTACAGGATGCTCCTTTGTTTACTGTAAGGAGACACAGTTGTCGGACCGGTTGTGCAACACTTACAGTGTGCTTTATTTAAATATGAATAGTTTAGAAAAACTAGGACAGCTAACAGCGCTCCATGGGGAAGCAAACTCAAACAGACGGAAACAAATAACCTGTGCTTAGTTGATGATAAGAGTTGAAATAGAAAAAAAACGACAACACATTGTAAACTGGGTGTCCCATTTTTGAGAATTCACTTTTGAACAATAAACTACACTGTAATCACTAAATATGATATGTAATCGGCAGCCTACAGCGGAGCGTTGCCAAAACATACCTCCTGACTGCTTCTCGATACTGGCGGTGTGACGTTATTGATCTCTGTGGTCTGCACAGCAGCCGATTCAGCGGCTTAACAGAACAATCAAATAACGACATAGATCAGCATACTGAGACGGCAAGATAAGGAGCTGCTTCTTTAGGCCGGGTCCGTTTGCAGTCTACTGCTGGCCAACCTGCTGCAATTGCAGATGGATTGTTTTCAAAGACCTTCCCACACACTTTAGCTGTTACTTTAGCTACCACCGCCCCGGCATCAGCTTGATTTGGCTCTTGGGGATTTACTGTGTGTTTGGATTGTTTTGTTTTTTCCCAATCTTTGGTAAAGGATTGTGTTGCTGTATTCCTCTCTTCGAGGACTTCTTGTTCCCAGTGTGGGGATCTGATATGAAGTGATTTGATGTTTCAATGTTTTTCATTAATGTGCAGCAAATAGAATTAGCTGAAATTAAAGTGAATGCCTTTGGATCAACATCTCTAAGTAAATAGAATAGAACGGAAACAATTAACTGATTATTAAAATTGTTGCTATTTGTATCTCCTTAAACTAGTCAGTTAATTGACTAATCATTTCAGCTCTAATCTGGTGACCTGTTAAGGCCATAGCATATAATTCACATCATTTTTACTGTCTTTTTCCTGCCCATTTATTCAGGTTGTTCCTATTACCTGCTTGTACATTTGAAGCTGTGAAGTGGGATCTGTCAACTTTGTAAAAAGTCAGTTCAATCCCCTGAGCAGGACACTTATCTGCTAGTTATTCCAGTGAAATGACCCAGTAGGGGACTGTGAACTGTCAGCTGTACTAATGTGCACATAGCTGTATAAAAGTAAAGCAGTGCCGAGCAAGACCATGCATACTCTGCAGAATCCCGCATTATTACAGTGTCTGTGTCATACGGTCTACATGACACATGGTGATGATGTACTACAGCAAAGTAATGGAGCTAGATTTTCCTGCGCGGCAGCGGCGACCACCGGGAAGGCTGTGGCTCAGCGGTGCAGGTTAATGATTTCCCCTCAGTGAACTGGATGTGGAATAATCCTGTAAGGGGGAAGAATAGCATAGCACAACCGCTCAGGACTCTTTCCTCCTCCTCCTCCTTCTTCCATCCATCCCTCTCTCTGTCTATCCTCCTGTACTCCATCCTCGTGTCTGTAGCATCTGCTGGTGCTCGCCACTGTCAGAGCGGGGGTGGGGACTTTTCTGTCACCACAGTGTGTGTGTGTGTGTGTGTGTGTGTGTGTGTGTGTGTGTGTGTGTGTGTGTGTGTGTATTATGAAATACAAATAGTGTGGGTGTTTGCATGAGCATGCCCCTGCGAGCCTCACTGTACGGTAATGGTTATAAATGTTGTTGCGGGGATAATGCATGTGTTGTGCCCGCTCATTAAACCACACTCCGTGCAAATGTGGGCACAGAGGGAGAAAAAAAAAAAGGGGGGAGGGAGGGGAGAAGAGGCAGTTTGCCTCTCCTGCCTTGTCTGCCACACCCTCCTACCTTCATCCCTTTCTCTCTCTCTCTCTCTCTTTCTCTCTCACACTCTCCTCCTCCTCTGCTCTTCTAGTCTATCTGCTGGTGTTTCCATGAGAACAGAGCGTGCTGGGTATGGGGGGGGGTTGAGGTTGGTGGTGAGGGTGAGGGTGTCGTGTGTGTGTGTGTGTGTGTGTGTGTGGTGTGTGTGGTGTGTGTATGTGTGCGTGCGTGTGCGTCCGTCTGCATGCATGGGCCTTGCGAGCATCACTGCTCTGTTTCACACGTCTCTCCTGGCAAGAGATTCTCCCGGCTGTGCCAGAAAACATGCTTTTGGCATCGCCATGGCAATTTGGACGCAGAGCCTCACATGCTCGTATCACTGATCAGAGATCCAGAGAGTGTATAACACACAGTCTGAGAGGGAGCCTGAGCAGTCGGAGGAGGCGACTTCCATTTAGGAGCTTTTTTTTTTTTTTTTTAAAGCTAAAGACATCTCATGTGCGTGGAAGGGGAGGGGATTAAACAGAGGGGTAGTGGTAGTGTTGGGAGACACAAAAATAAGCACAAATAAAGATGTATCGGAGCAAATTTGGAGGTATCCAGTCAGTCATTAAGCGAGAGCCTTTTTAGGGTGGGGCCGCAGCTTTTGCTGGAGCCAGGCTGAAAGAGAGGAGGAGGAGGAGGAGGAGGAGGAGGGTGGGAAGATGTAGAAGAGAGGACTGCTGATCTAAAAGAGGTGGAGGGGGGGCGGGGGGCTTCTTCACTATGAGCAAGAAAAGGAGGAGGAGGAGGAGGAAGAGGGCGATAGTGTGAAGAGAACAGGGGAGGAGAGAGGGGAAGGGAGGGGTTTAAAGGGTGGGCTTGTAGTCATTGTCAGGCATCGAGTAAAAGAGAGAGAGAGAGAGCGAGAGAGAGGGAGGTGCGCCCAGGCAGACTGACTGAAGAGCGTGTGTGTGCAAACTTGGATGAGTAAATGCACTAGGCGGCTTAGCTGTTGATACAGCCAGAGAGAGAGAGAGCGCGTGTGTGTGTGCACGACAGCGAGAGAGAAAGAGAGCGAGAGAGAGAGAGAGAGGGTGAGAGAGAAGAAGTGAAAGGGAGGAAAAAGGGAAGAAAGAAGCAGAGAAGAAAAAAGGGAGGATACAACAACTACAACTATGCTGTGTTGCATAAGAAGAACCAAACCGGTAAACTGCTCTGATTTGCTTCATCAATATTTTCCAGCTCTTTCATAATGACAAAATGATGCGATTCAACTCTGAACTTTGTGACTGTTAGTTTGTACTTGGATCAGGGCGCTTACAGGAGAGATTAGAGAAAATGTGGGTGTAATTTGCTTTGACTCGGGTCCTTGATTGTCCTTTATAGAAGTCTATCCACAGAGCCCAGACACGCCTAGTTAATGTGATTATCCCGCATGAATGGATGTTGCCACAATGCCTCTCAGACCTCACACTGTACTTGCAGAGAGAGGCACAAGACTGTAACTCGATCTTGGGCTACCCGGCATCCCCTCGTATTGATCATGCACTTGAAAAAAGTGAAAGATTATATGAAGGCACTTGATAGATTCTGTATTGTCTCTGAAATACTCCCTCGTTTGTTAAGGAGCTCCACTGAACCCCTCTGTTCCACTATTGTTAATGATGATTCACGTAAATTTGACCAACCTTTGTGCTCCTAATTGATGCCTTAAACGGGGGTCTTAGTTTCTTTTGTACTCGTGTTATCTTGAGCAGAAATGGGTGACACAGGAAAGTAAATTTCCACAGAGAGGGAAAAAAGGGTGGGGTACGGATTGAGTGAGCAGCACCATCATGTCAGTGGCCTCTGGGGAATACAATGGGAATAAATGAGTCTAAATGGATTATCATAACCCTCCAGCTTTATAAGTGTATGCTGTCAATTGATGGTACTATGAAGTGTGCACTCATTTAAAGGGTATGAAAGGCTGGTATTGGGTTGTTTAAAATAACCCATGGCTACTCTCAGTGCCAGAGAGCAATAATTATAAAAAAGGTGTTGCATGGAAGCGGGTGGGTCTGGACAGGGGAGAAGAAGGTGGAACCCTCCTGTACTTCATTCTGAATTTCAACAGCTATCATGGTGGTTTTGTGTGTGTGATCAGGCTAGGGGTTCCTGCTGCTATCTCAAACCGATTGTGATTTTATCGGACTCATAACACAATGGATTCTGATGCCACTTGATTGCTTCTTAAATGTTAGCTGGGATGAGTCATAATAACTCTGGCAGGGAGGAGAGAGAGAGAGAGAAAGAGAAAGGAAGCAAGGAAGGCTTGCCAGTTGAAAGACATGCAGGATGCAGAGAGGCAGGCAGGCAGAAGGAGAACAAGCGGCGGGGTGGAGTGTCGCTGGTGCACATGGAGGTAGATGGAGGTAGATGGAGGGAGGGAGGGGGGGGGGGTATATGCAAAAGGAGGTATAGAGTGAAAGGGAACCTGGTAGGCTGAGAAATGGAGGTGATAAAAAAGGATTGAGACAGGGAGGGAGGTTTCAAGGTATGGGGGAAGGTAGGGAGAGGCCGGCATGCAGCAAAGAGGCAACTGGATGGTGGCTTCAACCCGACAGGGAATGTGGTGGTGATGGAGCGAGCAGAATGACGGTTGGAGGAGGTGAGCAGGTGCAAAGGGGAGAAAGATCAAAAGAAAGGAAGCCGGCACACTGCAGCCATGTGGGTGAGGCACCGGCTTTTCCCACAGAACGCTGTCGCTGCCTCGAGCTCGCGCGTCTCACGAAGGAGAAAAAAAAATATCCGGCCTACAAGCACTTATCCTCCCGTCGTCTGCTTTTGAGGAGCAGAGGCATAAATTAATCCAGACAGACTCTGTGGTCTTCATGGATGGGTGAGCAGAGAGCATAGTTTGCTGCTTTAAACGTGGCAGTGTTGCAGTGGGTCTTGCCATTGTGGAGTGTTAAGTGCTTTTGCAACATCTTCACCATGGGAGTGGCTACTAGCAGTTCATTTATTTCTCCTCGGTAGCCCCAGCCCCCAGCTTTATATTTCAGTTTCATGCAGTTGTAGAACAAAATTCACCACTGCAGAAGATGCTGCTCGTCCTCGGCTCAGCGCTTGGTGGGAGATCAATGATCAGGTTCTTCCAGGCCCATCTTGAACTCAGGTCTTTCTCCATCATCAGACCTTCCAAAAGCTGCCATTTGTCCCTAAAACCGGTACTTCAAATCCCACCCATGTGTGCTCTTTTCCAACTCCGCCCCAACTCCATCCCTAGTTCTCCTGTCACCAGGGCCTGTCTTGGCCCCACTTTAACCTTGAGCCTAAATCCTTCTAGTCCAAAATCAAGACCCAGTCTGCTACCTTAGAGATGATTATTTCCTCATATACTGTGGCTCCCAAAGTACCATTCCACAGAGCCTGGATTCAGTCAAAGCACCAGCCACAGCCCATATTTCCAGTTCATGTCCTAGCCCCTTTCCTCCAGCTCCTCTACACTTGAGGCTCGCCCCTTTCCTCAGTCCACTGCCCCTTTCCCCATCCTCAGCCCCAGCCCCTATGAGATCAGTGGCGATTGTAGAGCCTTTGTTCAGGCAGAGTCGGTGTAATTTAATTAAAGGCTGCTCCAGAGGATGTAATGATGCTGGCATATGGCCGCTTATTAGTCGCCGTGGAGCATCTTTTCTCGGGCCGTCATAAAAGAAACAGTTCATCCTTTAACATCGCTCATCAATTCACCGTCAAAGGAGAGAGAGAGAGAGAGAGAGAGAGAGAGAGATGGCGAGCGGGGGCTGTGGCAGTCACCACCTGAGCCCCCCTCTCCTCATCTGCAGGAGATAGCTGGCTAAAAGGGTGTGGTGCTCTGTCTGTATGTGTGTGTGTGTGTGTGTGTGTGTGTGTGTGTGAGAGAGAGCGCGAGAGAGAATGAGTGGGTAGCAGTTTGCTCAGTGAGAAAGAGAGTGAAAGATGGCAGAGAGAGAAAGAAGGAGACGGAGATACTCAGCAGTTGCAGACTGCAGCTAGTCTTGGCTCTTTAGTGTCTGGATGCTTCCTGCAGAAAAGCAGACAGCCATTGAAATCGTGCTGGGATTTGCAGGAGAGAGGTGTCATTGCAGAAAGTATGTGTGCCACCAGCGCAGTGGCTACTACTATCTCGCTCTCTATTTGGGATTTGTGGTAATATGACAAATGTTTGGGGAGTTATTCATTTTATTTAAATCAGCCAATGCACTGTATACTTTATCAATTACAATGTCTTGTTTAATAATCATAGTTTACAGTAATAATAGTTTAGTAATTACACGTAAAAGTGACTTGGATGAAATTAATTAAGCTGCTGCACCTGTTGGGTTTGTGATAAAAGGGCCTCTGCAAAGCTCCACCATTATAAATGCAAATATTACCTTTAATATTTCTCTCTCCTCTCGCTAGCGGCAATCGATCCAAAGCTCGGCGGAGCGACGAGGTGAAAAGGGAGTCTCCCACTCGAATGGATCAGAATTCAAAAAATAATCATGATCATATGCACGCCTGCTGGGTGCATTAGCGTGAGCACTGGTTCTGTGGTAATTTAACCACCATAAGCCCCACCGCTCCACCATATCTTTCACCATTTCTGTTCTCTTCCCCTCCTCCCCCCCCGCCTCCTGAAACAAGTCCCTAATGGCACTGGCAATGAGGCAGTGGGAAGGTGGCGGATTGTTACTGTGTGTCACCATTGGGGGATGGTGTGTGTGTGTGTGTGTGTGTGTGTGTGTGTGTGTGTGTGTGTGTGGCTCTGTTGAATAAGCCATTGACTCTCGGGTGTGGTTCTCACGACAGCCGATGCCCACCCAAGGACAGAGACAGACGGGGAGAGAGAGCACAGGCTGCAGCTGATAGGCAACGCTATAATAGACACATCCAGCCGTCTGATAGAGCACGGAACACATTTAGGCATGAGCATTTATTACCTTTACAGACAGGAAAGACGGAGACGTTTGTCCTTTGGTGAATGACACTCTTGTATTTCGAGACATTATCCTGTGAGCTGCTGTGCTTTAAGATTCTGAACATGAAGATGGCAGTCATTATTTGTCACCTACATATAGTGAAGTGTCCTACAGCGAATGTTTAATGTTGCTACATTATACTATTATAATTGCAGGATTGCATAATCTGTGTTACAAACATGCAAGAAAACTACTTTTATGTTGCTGGACAATATGAACAGTTGTTAAGTGGTTAATGTGGTGTATCTGTGGCAACCAGACGGACCACGTTTGAAGAGGAAATACTCCAAGCTAATTGTAATGAGTCATTTGATTAACCTGAGAATGCAAATGTATCCCTCACTGCAAGTGAATCAAGGAAGAGTTTAAACGGCCGGGAGTCTTGGTGTGAAGACTCAAAGGGAGCGCACCTTGTGGTGTTCGGCACCTTTGGGAGGTGCCGATGTATTTATGAATGAAGATGTGTGCCGCACAGACACCGAGTGGAACAGCGCCTGCAGGAGGCTACGTGACCAGGGTTCAATTCACAGTCGAGAAGCAATTCTTAAAGGATTTGAAATAATGCTTCTGTTTTAGATTATAGACTTTTAATGTGGCAACTATCGCAGTCACTAAACCACAGGTGCCTTGCTCATCACAGCGTAATAAGTTTGATACGACAGGTCAAAGGTGCTCGATACCGAATCTTATGGTCCATGGAAACGGACTACATCGGTCAGAAAATCACAGCGCAGCACTTTTGAGGGCGATGCATGCAGACAAACATCAATAATGTAAATGATGACGCTACAATTGTGGTCAAACCATGATGGTGATGTTTCTTCCCAAGTCTTCATACACTGATATGAGATCACCTGGCACTCTGCTGGCATTTTATTACATTTGGAGTCACACCCAGATCTCTAAAGTGGATGACATACCCCCCTGTTCCAACAATGATGTCATACCCCCATATTCGCAGACACCCTCATCCATTGCTTTCTCTCTCTCTCTGACTGACTCACTGTTTTGCAGCCAGTAAGTAATTCTATTTAGAGTTAAGTGCTTAGGTCATTTCTTTTTAGCAATTGTAAGTACCCATGAGATCAGACATAGTAAAAGCCCAATAAGACACCAGAGACCTGCATATTATTAAGGGCAGAAGGGTGTGCCGATGATGCTTCGTCGGTCTCCACGTTGGCTGTTCTAATAGCAGGACACTTGCTGAAGTTTATTTCCACACTTAATAGCGGATTGTTAAGTAAACAGCCCGAGTTTTACACATAAATCACTATATTTGAGGCGCAAAAGTAAAGCCACATCCAGCCGTATCAGATTGATTTTTTTAATATCACATTGCACAAAATTGCTTCAGGGACGATGGTGTATATTAAGAACTGCAGGATTTACACCCTGAACCCTGGGGGATGGCACGTGAATAAAAGTGGAGGAGGTGAATATACCAACACAGCTGCTGCACCTTGGCCTCTGCTCCAATATTGCACTGACACACCGACCCTGAAGAAGACATGTTGGTTCAGGGCCTCTGGCTCTTAAATCATGTCTCGCAGATACGATTCCTCACGCAGGCAGCTGTCCAAGACAACCCTCATATCCAATATAATGACACCATTAGAGACGGCAGGGTATCGGGAGACAGACGGATAGACGTAGCCACCGAGTCGCATCTTGAAAACCATTTCCACTCAAATTAACTGACCTTAAAGAAGATGCTACTGCTCATTTGACATAGATTGCCAGCATTGATACATATAAACCCTATGGGTCCCTCCCACTGGGCCCACACCACCGCATCCTGCATCACACACAGCCCCTCCTTAGCCATGCTGATTGCCCCGAACCTGATTTACGAGTTCCTATTGGCCCCGCTCCCCTGTGGGGTCAGGTGCACTGCCAATCAGGGTGACATATAGTCTTTCATAGCACCAACCAGCAGACAGCGCTGTGATGAGTTAGCACTCTGGTTGTCAAGGTAACCTTTGATGGTTGGGAGGGGTATGGCGGTGAATGCTGAGGAGATTCTAGCCGGCAGCTCGTTCCCTAGCAGCCAGAGACGGAGCCGTGGAAAGCTACGGTACCTAGAGAGGTAGAGGTGGGCTCATTATTTTGGGAGAAAGAGTCTTTATTTTCAATGCTTGCTTTATTTTTTGGGTTACAATTTTGAAGATATCATTAGCAGTGAATCCAAGGGGACATTTATGAATGCCATGGAGAATTTATTAATTTAAGTTTAATTATTCACTGAATCCATTTCAGCGCTATTATCGAGAGGACAATATCAGCTTCATCTCTGGATTGAAAAAACCGCAGTAAACGCTTAGTCATTTGGTCGTGCACCAGATGCTAGTGTATCCAATCTATAATGTGGAGACAATCCTCACACACATCTGGTAATCCCGTGATTCACGATGACACTAAATCACCTCTTTCCGGCACACGACATGATCTAATTCAGTAGATCCATTCTATTGTCAAATACATCACTGGTTCCTGACAAAGACTTGATACCTGGAAGGACTAAAAACACAGATTCCTCAGTTTTCACATCTTTATCATTTGGCGAACTGATGATGCACTGCCTGCATGCTCTTTGACAGTTCATGTTTGCTTCATGTTGCTTATTCATATTAATTTTCGGTGCACATTTTAAGCTTTTGATTGCTCGAGCTTTGGCCCGAGAATATTTTACCTTAATTTGTTTGCCTATTCATTTTGAATGTACTGATTCATTTTGTTTGCCACTTTGAGTGCCCATCATTCATTCCTTTATTTGATTTGATTTCTTTTCATTAGATTTATATGACTCATAGCACAACCCACTATTTGATGGACAGCTATGGACCCAGTTACAGAAGGTAATATCACGGAACCCCTTTCAATATTACATTGTGCACTGTCCTGTTCCTAACCCTGTTCCTCATCCAGTCCTACACGTTTACTCAATTCTAAACCAGTCCTGAAACCCTAACCCAACTTTTCCCAATCTAAAACTCTCCAGTAATGGCTATCCGATAAATCCACAAGTTAACTAATAAACCCTGTCTCTTGGCATATACTTATGTCTTTTTCTGACTTCTGTCTTTTCAATTCATGCCAAATTAAACCCTTTTTTTTACCAGCATGACACTTTGGGATCATCCTCAAGCTACACATCCCCACAGTAGAGGGATTCTTTGCCACCTTTTAGCATAACAACCAGTACTTTCCTTTGCTGGTTTCCAGTGGACCTGCTTGGTGGCGATTGTTGATAGTTGATGGTAACTTGCTGTACTTTCTTTTGGCTACCAGGTGGAGAAGAATGAGGATGCGGACCAGAAGATTGAACAGGATGGCACCACCAACAAACCCGAGGACAAGGCCCACAAGGCTGCCACGAAAATACAGGCTAGCTTCCGCGGACACATAACTCGGAAAAAGATGAAAGACGGAGAGGAAGAGAAAGAGGGAGACAGTCCTGCTGCTGCAGAGGAGGCGACAGAGGGAGGAGAGGAGGCAAAGAAAGTGGAGGGAGAGGATGCACCTGCAAAGGAGGATGAAGCTGCAGGAGAGGAGGCCAAGAAGAAGGAGGAGGAGACGAGCCAAGCCAAAAGCCCAGTGGCAGACAAGCCAGCTAACTCTCCGGCAGCTGCTGCGGCCTCTCCTGGAGGCAAAGCGGCGTCTCCCGTAGCGGCAGCACCGGCCGTCGCTGCAGCTGCTGCTGCGGCCTCACCCACGGCCGCCACAGCGCCCTCTGAGCCTCCGAAAGAGGAGCCAAAGGTGGAGGAGAAAGTCGAGGAGAAGCCCAAAGAGGTAGAGGCCCCAGCGGCGGCAGCCAAGAGTCCCACCACAGTGACAGCTGTGGAGAATAAGGAGGAAGAGGAGAGCGAAGAGAAAAAGGAGGCCAGACAAGCCGATGTGCCTGCTGTTGTCAGCCCGACAGCTGAGAAGGAGGAGCCTAACCAAACAAAAGGTAAACAAGGTATGCAGATCATACGAAGGCTTTTAACGTCCATTTATTACAGTCAGACTCATTTAAAAATCCATTTCATGCACACAAGCACATGCCAGGTACAATAAGTCTAATTGGATGGGGCCCCGAAGAAGGTTCGCAAGATCTCAAGTTCAAACATTTAGATGTGCACAAGCACCCGAGGGCACCGTGTTCTGTCACAAAAATAATCCCAGATACACTCGCCTATCAAGAAGCAATTACTTACAAAAAAAACCCACGAATAGGTAATCCTTTCCGTAGCGTGCTTGGCAGGCACTGCAGGAAATATCTGCTTGTAGAGTCTTTGGGATTTTAAGATCTTTGGCAGTTCTCCTCCATTCACTGGTTAACACAGAGACACAGCTCAATATTAGATTAGACAGCCTTGTTTCTCAGCCTTTACAAGATGGAAACCCCATAAAGAGGCGGAGATTGGGAAAGATAAGCAGGGTTGTACAACGGGCTGGTGTTATCTTGGGAAGGATCAGATGTATTGTTAAGAAGCAAGGCTGCATTGTTTTCTCAATGAAAAAGCATCACGTTATGTGAGTCATAAAGGTTCATATGAATTTAATTTAATATGATCTAATAGGTGAAAATGGATGACCCCATTAAATCCTCTTTAAACATCACATCAGGTCAGAAACATTTGATAATATCTTTGCTGTATGGACCCCCAACATCAGCTAATTGATTTAAAGGATATCAGAAATACACTGACATCCAATTATGGTGGAAACGTTTATACCTGAGAAGAAAAGTTACATTACATTATGACATTAATAAAACAGAGTCTTGTGTTTCTGGTCCAAGGACTCTCAGACTGGGTCAGTCAGGTAGTTAATGGAGCATGCTCAGTCTGGAGTAGGTGGGGGGCACACACACCAAACTGGAGAACTATACGGAAACTAGGTCACCTAGGCAGCACTGTCTCCCTGTTGTCATAGCTACCACCTCGATGGGATAGCTGCCCTGCACGGAGCGGAGCGGAGATAACAGGTGCTCTGATTTTAATGAATGATTAATGAGCCCTACCGGTCACGATTCACTCTGTGGGGAAGCCTGTCACAAACAAACGATACCTGACAAACAACGGCTAATTAAGAATCCACTGCGGGCCACAATCTGCTTAACCAACTAAAATATTAATATTTATAAATATGTCACTTTGTTAACGGTGCAATGTGTACCTGGCCATGCTCGAAACAAATAGGTCTTATCAGTTATATGAAGATAAAACCCCACAGAACTAAGGAACTCGCCGGCTAAATGCGAGTTGCTACAGCTCTGCTAACTGAAAGTCCTACTCCTGGAGCTGTCGCGAAGTACTTTACTGGTGGCGGAGAGGAAGAAAAGAGTAACTGAACCCTGTACCTTCAACGGGATTGACAAGCCCTCGAGGCCGCTCGACTTCTTCGTCCTCTCATGTTGAACTGACGACAGACTGGAACGCTACAGTTATCACTATTGCCTCTCGAAGTAATAGATAGAGTCTGTTCTTCGAATTGAGAGAGAACAAGTTGCGACACGCCTTATGTTAAAAAGGAAATTACAAATGTAAATGGAAGTTGTAAAAAAAGTAAATTAAGTGCATCCAAAATGCTGATCAGGCGATGACTCTAGTGCTTACAGCTCTGCTTTATATCTGAATTACAAGTTCTACAGTTTCGTGTTCTCATTAACATTGTTTCCTGAAATCAGCGTTCAGGTTCGTCAAACCAAGGCAGAGATCACCAGAGTTTGGGCGTTTTGTTTTCCCGCCTCTAATTCTCGTTTGCAAATGTGTCAGCATTTTAGTCCCCATCACTGGTATAGATGACTGAGATAGCGCCGATGTCAGAATACCAGAACTGATTTCTCTTTGAAAATTGGGTGAAATTGTATTTGCATCAGTTCAGTGAATGTAGAGAAAGGCATTCTCATGTCATACAGGCTAAATGGCTAATTACCTCTTACCTAGAGATCACGCTGTCTTGAGGCGCACACAAACTCACACATTAGTACAAGCGCTAACGCAGACATGGTCGCCGCACTCCTTTGTCTTTCTCTCTGCCTTACCCTCTCACACACACACACACACACACACACACACACACACACACACACACACATGCACTCCGTCACCCCACTCTCCAATGCAATGATGTCATTTTTTGATGTCTCCTCTTTCTATTAAGAGTATGAGATCATCGTGGTATGAGATCACTCAAGGGCTCTTGAATAATAGGTTTGGTCAGAAACAATAAAATATTTGTAGTCCACTGTACGACGGGGTTTATCAGGGAATTTTTAACTTTTGATTTTGGAGGCTGTAGACATACAATATTAATCATTTATTAGCAGCAAATTAGTATTCTGCAAAAGATTAAATTAAAAGAATAGAAAAATATGAAGCATCAGTGCAATATTACTCAACAAACTCGATTAGTATTGGCTTAGTGATGTATCGGGGATCGTTACTCAGCAGTATTCACCTTTTTATAAAGCCACTGGATGCTGTTACAGAGCAGTACACTGGGCATCACACAGTATTCGATGCGACAGGCCGAGATGCTGCTGTTAGTGTTGTGATGTCAGTTCAAATGCTTCATGGGTCCATTAGGAGCACTCTCTTCCTTTATTATTTACACAGCCAATGTGGGATTTCAGACATTCGGTTGCATCTTCTGACTGACACGCTCTCAGTTGAGTTGACATCTTGAGAACAACATGGAATTATTCTTCTGTGTATTTTCAAGCCACATTTTCATGCTTTTTGAATGTTATCTTGTGCTTTTTTTTGAATACACAAAACCTTTGGAGCTGAAATATTTTAAACATCAAAATTAGCAGCTGATACTTTGATGCACAGTATGTCAGAAGACCCAGAGAGCGCTTTATTATTCCAACTTCACAATGTAAAACCTCCTCTCCGCAGTCTAATTTTCTCTCTTCTTCTCTCCTCTCCCCGACCCACCTTCTCTGTATCATGCCCCCTGTCTCTCCCTTTTTCTCTATTTACCGTTCACCCTCCTTCCCTCCCTCCTCCCAGATGCTGCAGAGGAGTCTAAAGCAGAGGAGGCCACTCCGGCAGATGCAGCGGCGGAGGGCACTGAGTCCAAGGATGACTAAGGCGAAGTCTAACCTAAAGAAAGCAGAATTATGAAGAATAACACAAAAACAAAAATCTAAAAAAGTTGCTCTTGGCCTTCCCAATGTGAAGGCAGTGCGTTTCTATTTGTTTGTCATTTTTTGTGTGGCAATGATTTACTCATGTTGGGGGAGTTTCCAGCGTTACGTTTTTTGGCTCAAGCTAATACTATGAGGAAGTGGTGATGATGAGGATGATGGTTGATGTTGATTATGAAAAATGATTGTTACCACTCTCTATTATAAGTGAATCAGTGGTGGAATGAACGCTCCCAACTGGATATTTACACATTTAAAATGCGTTGTGAATGCACCACACTTTATTTGCATTTCAATGCACTTTATTTCAACACATTTCGCAAAATAAAATCCGTACTTCTGCAAATGGACGCACAAAAACAAGCTGGTTTAAAATGCAACTCTAGTTTTCAGCACCACAAGTGTATTGAGAACACTGCAAATAGGTAATGTACTGACACATCGGATGGAGAATAGAATGTATAATTAAACGTGTGACACTTCCAGTTGGGCAGCTTTATCCTGAATCCAAAAAAACACACATAGGACAAGACTATTGCTCCCTCTCTATTCTGCTTGAGTCATTCAAGCTTGGTTTACACCCCTTTTACAAACTCCCTGTCTACTCACATTTACAGTAAAGGACCTGTTGCCATTTAAATGATATACGCATATAATAAACTATAGAAGTCAGCTATAGTATTGGTGTAACTGGCTCTTACATGACTATTTGTGTTCTGACAACCAAAAGTGAGAACAGTAGCATGAACCATCGAACCAGATGCATGATGGGAACTCTCCCTCTGAGAGGAACTTTTTCGCAGTCACAAAAACTTAAGAGGTGTGGCGGCTTCTTTTTTGATGTCTTTGGTGTTGTTATGACAGTTTATATGAATTGGAAAAATACTGAATAAAATAAAAATGCACTGATGTTACACAAAAAAAAAGTAAAAAGAAAAATCAAACAAACTTTTCCCATGTTCCAGTGAGTGCAATGTCCAGTTTCAACCTTATCAAGTTCAAACTTGTGAGAAAAAAAATTATGAAAAAATAAAAATGGTTTCAATGTCTGTTTTCAAAATAAAGCAAATGTGCCAATTACCACCATAAACTGTGGAGTTTGTTTAAAGCCATGTTATAGTTGCGCTGGTTGCGCAGAATTCATCTTCATCAATCTTCATCAAACTAGGCAAGAAAGTGAATATGTGTATTTGTTACACTTAAGATGTTGATATCATGCACCAAGCAAACTTTAAGACTTTAACTAAATACTCAGGGACACTAGCTAATCATTTGCAAAACCTTCGTAACCACTATTTTAGACACATTTCATTCACATAGGCAACACCTGACAGCATGCATGGGATGCACCATTCCCGTTAGTATCTTTCTTCTGAGTCTTATCCTGGTGCTGATCTCATTAGAGACAAGACGCTTACATGAAACATGAGCACCCTGGTAATCCCTGGATAATCTGGATAGTCACTCGTTCATGTACCACAGTATCCCGGTTTCTGACAAAGTGCTAGTTAGGTTTCTCAAAGCCTAAGGTCTTATCCAGGTTTCTGAAATACTTCAAATACATGCTAGTGGACATTCGAAACACATTTCAAATTATGAATGTTCTATTTCAGAGAGAGAGATATATGTAAAGATCCTATTGACTGGATGCAGCGAGAGAAGTATGCAAGAGCCCATGCAATTGCAAGGAGTTCAAATATGAACCATGCAACTTCCGTCAACATAGCAGTCTTTAGTAAAACAAAATTAAATAAATAGTAATTACCCGAAGGTGAACCAAATACAATCCTCAGTCTCACACAAGTTGTGTGACCTTCAAGCTAAAGAAGCTGGTTTGCTGAAGCAGTCCTGTAATTAAAAAGTGTATTTTATGACCCTATATCTCCGACCCTCCTCCTCTTTGCACTCTTAAAAAGAGTGTTTTAAAATAAATACATCCAGCACTGCTTTGTCACAATTTATTTCTAAAACCCATCGGTTTCATTGGTACTGTACTTGCCTTACTTTTGACATACAATACAATGAATTACATTATTTTTTTTTTTGACATACTATACTATGACTTGTTTTTTACTTTTGACGACATAGTATACAATTACTTTTTTTAAAACAGGTATAACTGTTTCAACCTTTTCGACATACAACACTAACTTTTTTTCCGACACATACTTTTTTACTTTTTCCGATATACTATAATATGACTTTTTCTTTTCTAAATACTTTTTCTATGACTTTTTCGGACATACTTTGTGGTTAAATCGTGTAATGTTTATGATTCATTCAATGATGTAACACTGCTGCCCTCTAGTGGTTAAATTGTGTAATGTTTATGATTCATTCAATGATGTAACACTGCTGCCCTCTAGTGGTTAAATCGTGTAATGTTTATGATTCATTAAATGATTTAACACTGCTGCCCTCTAGTGGTTAAATCGTGTAATGTTTATTACTCATTAAATGATTTAACACTGCTGCCCTCTAGTGGTTAAATCGTGTAATGTTTATGACTCATTAAATGATTTAACACTGCTGCCCTCTAGTGGTTAAATCATATAATGTTCATGATTCATTAAATGATGTAACACTGACGTAACACTGCTCCGGTCTGTCTTTGTTCATCCTGCATCGCTCTGTTCTGTTCTTTAATGTAACGTTACTGGAGCGAAGGAGCTGTACCCAGCATGCAGTTCGGCGGTGAAATTTTATAAATGTACAATTATTAGTGTTACAAATTGTTTATGTGTCACAGACTGTTGTGTGCTGTTGTGACATCTTGTGGTGAAACAATTTACTGCAGCAGCTCCCATGACAGTACGGTGCAGTTATGTAGAATAAAAAGTCTGCCATATTTGTATTAATGTTTGTCCATGTTTTGTGATGACACAACTCTTAACTTTAATCTATGCACAAAAAAGTGAAACTGGAACATTCCCATGGTGATGAGCTGAGTCATAGTCGTATTTGTCACACTTTCTGAGGACAAAACGTCTTCCAAGGAGAATACAACAATACATATATTATTTTATTTGCATGTTACACGGTGAGAAACACAATTGTACCATTAAGATTCTGTGTGTTCCAAGCTATCTCCAAGAAAAAGGTTATTTGCCCTGGGCATTTCAAAGTCACATTCAAATACAGAACACTGAATTCAAACAACTTTATTTTGTGTTATGAACATTTTCTCATATTCCTTTATTACATATCTTTTTTTTTTTAGAAACTGACTGCAGTTACCTTATGCCATAATAAAGTAAAACAAAAAGAAAAACGGGACATTGCTGTGTAATATCCATGATTGAATCTTGATTTCCCATGACATAGGGAAGGGAGGTACAAACGTGATAGTTACAGTTGCTGTTTGAATCTTTAAATGTTGAGTTGTATAAACACGATCTTATGGATTTGCTGACTTTACAACATTCTAGTGTGGAAACATCACACTGTATATACACATAGAGGAGGAAAAGAAAAAAAGAATTTAAACTTAGAAGGTTACTATTGTAACCATAGCTCAACGGAAAGCAGAAAGTTAGCTATTTGTCCAACTGGTCATGTATCTCATGCCTCAGGTAGGTTAATAATAACGAACAGAATCAGAATCCGAGTCAGAGTGAACACGCGCACATACATAAGCCATTTTTGTACAGTGAAGCGATGGGGATGTTTTGAGGCAATGCTCAATAGTAAACTTGGATAGCTGTATCTACAGTCCTCAGTAGATCGCCTGATCTCTCTACAGGGGGGGGTTGGTGCTGTGTCTATAGGCTGGCTGTTGGTCTCTCTATTAACAAAGGAAGGACAATATTCCTTATTCCTTTGTCCTATATGGATAAGACAGAGCTCCATGGCTTTTACACAAGTGTACTTAGTATCAGTCAGTGCTTATTGGCTGGGTTTAACCTGCGTGGAAACACTTGGACATCCACATTGGGGAGGTTTGCCTCGCATGATAATCACCTGAATGGTAGAAAGTTCAAACAATGACAGTCAATATGCTGTAGCTTCCTTTAAAATAGATTATTTTACTCATCATGCATTCCAAGCAGGTTAAATTAAATGCTGAGCATAATTTGGAGATATTCGACCCTGCTCTGGTATTCTGTCAGAGTCTCCTCCAGCAAAAAAACACAGTTGAGTTTGTCTGAGAGCCTGCCAGCTTTGCACTGCCCTGAGGTTTTTCTTTTTTTATGCGACACATACAGTAGGCTAGTGAGACGGACAGACTTACTAAAATAGACCTGTAGCACAGACCACACTCATGCAAACTGATCATGAAGAACTATTTTCAACACAGCTTCCAGATCATTCATTTCTTTCTACAGTAAGCAGATAACTGTTGCTGACAAACTCCTCCAGTACGAGCTAGCCGGAGGCTAAAAAGCGAGAAGAGAGTCTGCAGAATTACTATTGTAGTAGAAAAACATCAGGAGTCAAGTACTTCCACGTTAAAGTGGACACAGCAGAGTTGTTCAGTCGTAGAAAATCAATAAAAAAAGCATGTGTAAGATGATGAGAGTATAAAGCGGCTTTCTTATCACTTCCTAGACTGAGAAATCAGATTATAAGATATTGTTTGTGTGATAGAGCTGTTAGAGATTTAGTCTTAACTGTTTAAATGATTCTGCTTTGATTGGAATTGTGTCTTGTTTCAGGCCTCTGTACAGCTCTGCTTCTACCGATGAGCCCACATGAAAGTTAGACTGGATCAGATGGCAATTACCAACACTACGAAGTCACACAACTATGGCCTCAGAAGCATTTACAATGAAAACACCTGCGAGAATTTCTTTAATGTATGACAAGGATGACAATTAATTACACGTGTGTTTTACAGTACTAGTACTATCTCGGCCTGGTTGTCAGAAGAGCGAGACATGAACACATCCAGTCAAGGAGCTGAGCTGAGCGCTGGAGTCCGTCCGCTATTAGTCACCTCACAGTAGGTCAAAATACATGACAAAAAGGCAGCTAATAGTGACACCAATTTCAGCAATTCTTGTCATAAAAGGGAATGACCTTTGGGCTGTCTCCTGAATGAATAACACTGTTTGAAAGTTCTTCTTCTTTTACAAAATAATTGACAAATGTAGTATTCATTGAACCGGTTATGTTCATGAAGAAATAAATTCAGTGATTGGCGAGGTGTCATGAGAAAATGAGCTGTAGAACATGTTATGTAATGGTATTATTTTGTTAAAGATGCCCATCAGCACTTGGTGGCCATTGAGTGGACTAAGCATTCGGTCTTCATTCGCTTGCTGCTTTCATATTGAATTCCTGGTATTGCAAGCTAAACATAATATTCCATTCTCTAACACATCATATAAGCCAGCACTTGTATTATCTCAATGATAGGTACAATAAGAACTGCACAAAACTATTTTCTTTTTATGCTTTTTTTAAAAAAAAAACATCATCTTCTAATGGGCTTCGGTTCACATGATAGAGCAGGGTTGCCAGTTCAAGAGATCTACAAGTTAATTACCCTCAACAGTTTGCTACCCTACTCAGAAACATGGACACATAAAATTTGCCTTTTCATATAGTATAAGGACATTGGATTCAAGTATATACACACACACACACACACACACACACACAAACTAAAATGAATGAGGTAAAGACGGAAAAAAAATCAACCTCAATATCAATATATTATGAATTTTTCTGTATCATTTCATATTAAAACACGCATACTTCTTTGAGAGAGAAAAACTAAAAAGTAAGTCATTCATTGGTGTCATACATTTTTTATCCAAATTCCAGCAGTATAGAAGAATGATCCTAAAACAAAAGAAACTGAAAGAAAACACCATGTGGTACAGCTAAATGGGATGCAGCCTGCTGTGGAGCAGAGACAGACTGCACCGTATGGTTGATCGGTCATCAAACAAGCAACCTACACTGCAAAACCTTTTCTTTGTGTCCTGTTGTTAACAGTGGCAGAACAAGTTGTCTTTTCATAGAGAAATACAAAATGTTACTATGTACAGTACGCGTCACTATAACCTACTGTGTTTCTTTTCCTGCTGCAAAAGAAAAGCGGGATTCGTTTGGGATAAAGGCGAGTAGTTGCGAAGCCACTGAATGAAGATGTAGGAATCCATCCCAAGATATACTAATTTCCTCAGCTTTGTACACCGCGTGGTTCAGCTCAGTAGGATCAAGTCGATTCTATTTACTGAATCCTTGATTTCTGGGCTCGACAGCAACAACCCGATTGGCTGCTGCTTCTGGAAACAATGTCACTGATTGGAGAGATATCCTGCTCTTACTCTTTGTCTGTGTTTCAGTTTAGTAGCATCAGATTATGATGTGCAGGCTTTACTATCACGCTGAGTCCCATTACGCTATTTTCCCTTTGATTTCTGTATGTGTTAGTTTCAAATCTATATAGTTTATGGATATTTGGCAGATACTTTGCATGATGTTCATTAATGCACTGGTTAAACACTCGGATACATCTACAATTAAGTTAACACAATGCATCTATGGGAGTAAGAAGAAATATATCTTTGTGTCTTCAGTACTTCTAGAGACATATGATTGTTGGCATCCCTGTGAGCGGGCGCCTCTGCTTTCCCATGAAGACAAAAATACAACAAATCCCAGAAGACAAGATATAAGAGAAATAAACAAGTGCAAACAAATTAAGAACAATGCAATTCAAGAGCACTGTTTGCTTGTTCCGTCCTTCATGTCACCGTTTTTGTTGTTCTTCTCACATTTTACTCATAACCCATCATTTTCCATAATATCTGTAAGCAGTGCTCGCGAGCACATAAGGTTTTCGTATCATAATGCAAACAGTCTGGGGGCGCGGGGGGGGGGAGCGGTAAAGTTGGTAATAAGGTAGCAATAAGGATGTCGGTGAGTTGGAGAGAAGGAGGAAGAGGAGAAGGAGAAGGGAGGCCAGGAGGGGGGAGAAGAGGAAGAGTTGGGCAGTGGTATTAACACTTGAAGAAAAGGCAGGCGAAGCAGGCCAGCAGGAGCCACAGTGATTGAGATACACAGGCAGAGCCGTTGATGTCTCGGCCTGTCCCGGGTCCTGTACAGAGACACAGAGAGACAAGAGAGACACAGAGAGACACAGAGAGAGAGAGAGAGACACAGAGAGA